GACACCAACAGATTTGAAGCGTGTCATTTATTTGCTTGTATATAGCAAGTTTTCATTATTTTAGAGACCAGTGGACAAACTATCAAATAGCCCTTTATCAAAAGCCGTCGTGGTTTTTTAGTATAATAATTTTGTGACGTGTGTGTTTTGCAACCAAGCATGGAGTCAGCATGAACAATCATCAAGATATTTGTTTGTTAACATTACAGAATGAGAGCATTCACTTGAAAAAAAAGTAAAATCTGGTTATTATTCATCAATTTAAATTTGAGCGTTTACAAACAGCTAGGTCTGGCCTACTGGGTCGGTCTGTGGGAGGAACTTCAGCCTCAGTTGACCTTGACCTCCTGTGAAAGCAATTTCTTCGCAGCTTCAAGGGCCACGGCATCATTCGGGTTGGGTTTCGAGGTGTCAAAAGTGAACACTATGCAGGGTTCCGAGTCTGGCACCACCTTGTAGCCGCCATTGAAAACAGTGCTGCAGAAGTCGGTGGATGAATTGTAAAACTCTGTGTATTTCCTACACACCGAGCCCTCTTTGCAAGTGTTCATACCTAGGAATATTTTTGTTGAGATTTTCAAGTTATGAAAATTCAAGTAATAAGGTTGAGTAAATGACACCGCATCACATATACCGTATCGACTTAAGCCTGATTCTGCCGCAGCAGATAACATGTTCATGTTCAGAGTATTGAAAAACGATGATGTTTTGACTTCTAATTGAATGTTGTTTTATGAAATAAAGGCATTACAAACTGGAACAATATACTCTGGCAAATACAATTAATTAAGGAGTAAAACAATTAATAACAAGTTAAGGACAATTCTAAATTTGCATAAAGGATACAAATTTTATTTTATTTTATGCACTGAAATTAAAAATCTAACAAATGAAACAGAAAATCGTATTCGGGGGAAAAGTTAACAAAATGAAATGTTCAGCTCGAATTGTCCAATATATGGCCAATCATAAAGTAAAACTAAATTGCTACCAGTGCTACATGCATACTCCCACCCAACCACCCTTTAACCGGATGACGTCACTCACCCTCGGGGCTCCAGTCCATGTCAGCCACCCAGTTCCTGTGACAAGTGTATTCTTCTTTACAGGCGTCCCACCACTTGTTACACTGACTGGCACATAGAGGCACGTTATAGCCGACATCCAAATACTGAAAAATTGATAAAATATTTGTTGATATGAGAGAGAGAGAGAGAGAGAGAGAGAGAGAGAGTCAGTGGTGAGAGAGAAAGAGTCAGTAAAAAGAACGTTTATCAAAGTTTAACACATACGAGATATCTATAGATCCATGGTCCCAGGTTTGGTGAGCACGCATAGAAACAAGACTGCTCAAACGTTAGTCTCTCGCACTCCGGGGAAAGGCGTGGTTTCTGAGGACAGTGCATGTAATTGACTATTCCATTCTACACATGGTTCTCCAGGAGATTTGCAACTGCATTCACATTGCAGCAGGATCTTTTTCGGAAACTTGGGCACTGAAACAGAGGTTAAAAGATATGATATAGTGTCCTTTATCGGCCAATGATGCCTGTACGTACCTTGTCGATGTGTGCTGGTCATAGTATGTACACGGAAAACTAGCAGTAAAAGAAGAAAGAGCCGTTGAATATAATCTGTATATATGCATGGCCACCTGCGTAATCCCATACACTGCATAGCACATGTGGTCATCATTACAATTCAAACGAACAAATATATACACTTATCCTTCTTGTCAAAAACTGGGGAAATTCACTGTTTTTTTTTTTCTGATAGCCTAGGTCGTAAGCTTTTATTTATTATCTGTGAAATCTGGAAATCGAAGTTCAAGTGATGAAATTTATTGAAATCACTCAATATCAGCAAAAAATGGACTCCAACTTGAATATGCCACCATCTTGGAAATTTTTGATAACTGTAAAGTATGACTGCATGACTGTAAAATATAAATATAGAATGTGTTGGTCTCAGAAATGTTGTGTGGTACCATGGCAACGGTCCTCACACACATACACACCACCACCACCACCACCACCAGTTTATTGGCAAACAAGCTGAAAATGAAACATGAGGACCTCAGCTATCAGGAAAACAGTGAATGAAATTCGCTGAGGGTTGGGAGGTGTTGCGCAATTCACTCTAATTTGCGTGTTAATTAATATAAGGTAAAAACGATTTATCACCCCCTCTACACACACAACAAACACAACGTATGGACCAAAGGTGTGTGTGTGTGTGTGTGTGTGTGTGTGTGTGTGTGTGTGAGGGTGTACATGCACGTGGGTTTTGTTAGTAGTCGTAGTGTAATAATAAGTTTCGTTCCAGTTCAACCCTTAAGTTTCTTAATCAGTTCCCTGTAATAGCACAAACGACGTTGAAATGCAAATATAGCTCCTTTAGCAGAGTATATTGAGCACGGACGACTGCAGTTTGATTCCCTTTGTATTGCTATGTTTTGTGTCTTGTGGTTTAAGCGGTAGCTGCCTAGACAGCATTAAACTACTATTTGTTTTGTGCTGGATGGAGTAAAAACAAATTGCGTTTTTTTCCGTATGTTTTTGTCTATGTTTGTCTATGTTTGTTTTACACCTTATGGTTGACACACTTCGAATATTTGTGAAGGCTGCTTTTTATCGCCTTTTATTGCAAACGTGCTTACCTGCATCTTTGCAAACAGAATGATTATGAACTTTTACTTTTCGAGATGAATGTGACACAACTGCCACGCAAAAAAGAATAAAATGAAAAATGAAGATATAATGTATTATTCAGTTGAAGCCTAAAACACTTATTGATTTCACGCGTAGACGAGTCAGGTCCATCATCCAATCCAAGGACACTACGATGTAGAAAATACTTAAATATGACGTTTTTTGTTTGTTTGTTTGTTTGTTTTTTACTATCGTTGGTTCATTCATTGTTTGTACAATCAGTTACATCTTGTGAAAAAATCATTTTATAAGTTGAATGAAGACTTTTGGTTAATGACATATTTTCTGTATCATTTAACGCATTGCATTGAAGGTGACACTTTTTCCTTTGAAAGGGAGGTATTTTTAACTCTTTAAACCTCTTCATACAAATTTAAGACCCAAGTTTCTATAGCCGTCTTTCTGAAGACAAGGCATGCACAGTGTAGCATTGTATATGCTTTGGGTGTTATATTGTTATATGTGAAACACACACGCAATCAAATTTTAAATGCTTCCATATTATCAAACTAATGTTATTTTTAATGTACATAAGTCAAACAGCATGCAGCATGGTGCCATCTCTCACAGAAAAAAAATATTATCAAGTGTTATATTTACATGACATCTATTTAAATCCTTATTCATCTGTGTTTCACACATGATTAAACTAAATTGAACCGGTAATTTTCACTCCAACATTATACAATATTTACCCTGGAGAGCGACCTTAGTTAGTGATAGAATATATATATATATATAGATAGATAGATATCATAAAAGACCCCATCTCTCTCTCTTTCTCTCTCTCTCTCTCTCTCTCTTACTCACCTCCAGTCCGGGTTCGGGGGACGGTCTCGTCTTACTGGCCCCTTCAACTGGCAAGGTTATGCACTTGTTCAAGTAATAGCCTAGACTATTAGTTTTGTTTTGGGGTGCCGCGACTCCAATGGTCAAAAACACCATACAGAAAATCAGAATTGTTGCCATGATCGCTTACGTGTTGAACAAATACCTGCTAATCATAGTTTGGAGAGTATTTATATAAGTTGTGATGTCACATGGGAATCAAATACCAATACCAAGTAACAGGTTGTAACTTACTAACGGGGGCATGCAGAATCTGGTGACATTAACAACGAGTTTCAATCAAATACAAATACTGTTTTCACCCTAAAGTTATTAATAATCTTCTTTACATATGTACTGGAAGAAGAAGCACAAAATGTGCTGGTGTTTTTTTGTTTCGATGAACTCATCAACATAATATAACTCTGGCTTGTTTAGTGGCATTGAAAAAGTGACGTCTAACGTTCGGCAATGTCACTGTGACAGTTATGTTTAGGTAGGATAAGGAATGAAAAGAAACGACTTGACAAGTGCAAAATATTAAGAGCCTCAATGATGTAAAGGAGTTCATCTGCATCCTGGCTGCTTAAAATGCGCCATCTTAACTGGTGGAGTTGTTTTAGAAGCATATTTTTCTAAATACAATGCACATTGCAATCATATGCTATGTATCATTTTGGGTACATGGAGTTCGTTACGTAACGATGCTTAATAAATGTGTAACAAACGATCACTCTTTAATGTTAAATATTTCATATTTGAATTCTAAATTTACGTCAGCTGTTGACTTCTTTAACACCATATGGGATGGCGGATGTCACGTGGTACCGGAAACAGAGCCTTGCATGGAGTTGCAAATCCGAACACCTTGTGTTTTGACATTAAAAAAGAAAAAGGGCCATTTTGTCACCTGACGCTTCCGGATTGAATTTATATACGTTTTTCTTAAGTTGAATCATTAAGTTTCAGCAGTGAAATGTGGAACTATAGCGTGTTACGAGATTAAAGACGTTTCAACGCAATTTTTAATGAGTTTAAACCAAATATTCAATCAGCTAACATGATTATCTTTTATCTTTCAAAAGGGTACATCTGTTCATTCTACTTTTACATGTAGATCAATATGTGGATAAACTCGGGTACTTGATTAATAATTTATTTTTTATTTCATCCCTTTTTCACAAAGAGTTTACAATAAAAAATTATCTCTGAAGCTGAGAACTGTAAATGCCTTACATATTGCATCTAACGTGGCACATTTGTGCATAGTTTAGCTGTTCGCGTATTCGATCAAATATCGTCTGAATATTGTCAGTGGTCGAATTTTTTAGGATTGAATATTCCTTTACACCAATAGTTTAGGTGTCATCCATTTTAATCATCATTTACACACTTCTACCAAGCGTCTACGCCCCCCCCCACCCCCCACCCCCCCACACCCATCAAAGTGTACAAGCTAGGTGAAAAGCAAAAAAAGTAAGGCCCTTTGACAGCAATTAGGTTCATCATTTTTACTAATTTTCATAGGCGTATATTAGGATATAAAACTCCTCCCTACCCCCTCACTGAGTAAATACGAATATATTTTAATATTTTCAGTATATCATATCTTATTTAAACAAGAAAGCTGGTCCAAAGAGGCCATTTTTATCAATGTCGATAAAATGCACAATTTGTTACTCTTATATATAACAATATCCTCAATATTCGGACATTTGTTAATATTCAAAATATAAGAAATCAACAAAAACAGTCACCTGTCTCACAGCGATTGTTTACAAATTCACTTTAGGTCTTAACAAGTCATCGCATCCCATACGCCTGGGTGCATTTTGTAGCTTAAGAACAATCTCCGAATATATCTTTTCTTGCCCAGGGTGGAGACATGACTAAAATCCCTTGAGCAATGGCATGCTTAGAGTCTTTTTGACCACTTGGCGCATTTTGTCCCAGCTGGATGCATCGAATTTACTGCACAGGTCATTGAGTGGGTTGGCAGGATCTCGAACTAACAGGCTGCAAAATACGTTTTAGTACATATGTATTTATTAGATATTGGTTGAAAAATTAGTCTAGACAAAATAGACCCCTTTGGATGAAACTGGAAAAAATTGCAACAGACTTCATTATTTCATCCTGTATTCTCTTGAAATTTCCAAACATTACTCTTCAAGTCCCAACAAATGAGGGTTCGGACAACTTAATTAGGCCGCCAAAGGGATCGTAATCGTGGTTCTTACCAACCCAAATATGTAATTTTCATATTGCCTGGACTATATTCAAGTTATTTATATATTGTATTAACAACTGTTCTCTTTTACTGTAATGTGGTATTTTAAGCATAAGGCATATGCTTTTTCCTACAAATTATTAATATGTTTCAATACGTACTCAAAAGTGGAAGATAGCGGATATTTGCTTGGGTTGTAATTTTCTGACCACTCCACTCGTTGGTGACTTCGTTCAGTCAGTAGCGACATCACGGCCTTTAATCCTTGTCTTTTGTCCATGGTCCAGGGTCTCCCCGTCATTTCCCAAACCTTGATACACAGAAGTTCCAGGAGATAGGAGGACGGCAGCCTAGACTTGGATACGTGGCAATCCTAGCCGAACAAAAGAAAATGTGGAGCTGCAAAAAATTCCTTTTTTACAGTATATAAAATATAAAAGTGACACTAGTATCGACTGACATAAACAGAGAAAGTTCCAGGGACATCTAAAATAAGGGTGGTCATGGAACTCTAGGTTTAATAGCCTTCAAACTGTACAATCGACTAGAACAGCTCTAATAGTTAATAAATATTAGGGCAGTAGAATGAGGCAAAATGTTTTGGGGCTCCAGGGGAAAAGCCGAACACTGTATAACCTTAAGGTCAATAAATATATTACACCCCTCCTCACATGCTTCGGTCTTGGATGCACTGCCCAGACCTATAGGGTATTTACTTTAACAGTTCTCACCCGAAAGCGTTCCTTTCTCCAGTGTTTGACGAACCGAATCAAGTCCTTTACCACTGGCTGTTGACGTTTTACGAACTCGACTTGAAGCTGAACCAGTGGAGCTGAGCAGTACTCACGCAAGTGTGGAGAAAGTGATTTCATTGCATCATACACTTGCTGTGGGGTACCTGGGATAGAATAAGTAGCAACTTCCTTTTATGTAAAAACAAAGGCGTGAGAATAAAAATGTGCTCTGCAGCAGATACATATACAGCTGAGCAACACACACGCTTCTGACTTTACACCGTGCCCGAAAATTTTGGTGTTTTGGAGAGCAAACAGTGCCCCTTGGTACGGTTTAGAACTATGATTTATTTAGCTAGTCAAATTTCTTACTTCAGGAGGGGAATATTGGTGTGATATATTTAACGGAAACCAAAAGGGGTGGGTCAGACCTTCCCCCTATAAATCCGCCACTGATGCCTCTACAATACACTCGTAATATTTCACGTACAGCTCGGCGACTCGTATTGTATCTATCACATATATGTTACCAGTGCAATACCGTCAGCAACCACTTGGTGATCGATAACTGGTCGCAGAACAGTAGCGATCGCTTGCCAATGGTGGCAACAAGGTCGCACAGAATATATATATATATATATATATATATATATATATATATATATATATTATGACAAACCTTTCTTCAAAATATCTATGGCAGGTAGCAGATCAACGTCACAGGTAAAAGAGCCCCTCTTGTATCGAAGTTTCACGGCATGCATCGTCTCGCCAACAACCTCGAACTCGGGTAGAGACTTCCAATTTCGGAGGCAACGCCTTATCTTCTCANTATATATATATATATATATATATATATATATATATATATTATGACAAACCTTTCTTCAAAATATCTATGGCAGGTAGCAGATCAACGTCACAGGTAAAAGAGCCCCTCTTGTATCGAAGTTTCACGGCATGCATCGTCTCGCCAACAACCTCGAACTCGGGTAGAGACTTCCAATTTCGGAGGCAACGCCTTATCTTCTCAATGGTTTCCTGCAACCACTGGCCGCTCATGGCTCGTATGGACGATCGAAGATCTCCGACATAATTGATGAAAACCACGCAGTCAATGTCAGACTTATCTTTCAGCGCTGTGCCTTTCCCCAGCGATCCTCCCTATAGAAGAAATTATTATAATGCCCATTAACTTATAAATCTACTATTAATTAACTATGTTTGAAATCTCATCAACAAAGTATTTGATATACCTCAGTTTTGTGTATAAGCTACTGTTTAGTATTTACGACACCCTACAGGTTTTTTTTATTTATTTCAACATTATTAAACGTTACTTTCTATTTTGGCTTGTTGACATTTATTTAAATATACCGGTAGATATAGATCATCACGTTTACCTAACTCTTGGGTGACGCACCCTCTATGAAAAAATATTTTTTTTATTTTCTCGAATATATTTTTTTAAGTTAACGGTAACTCATTTACCCCAAAGACGATAAAAATATAACAATAAAACAATAAAATATCGTTGATAAGCCTTATCCATACCACGAATGCCTTATCACGGTATTGTATACGACAACGCCCCTTGTGGAACATTAACTTTAAGTGGAATTGTAAATTCCACGAATGTCAATAACAATAAAAATATCGTTGATAAGCCTTTTTCCATACCACGAATGCCTTATCACGGTATTGTATACGACAACGCCCCTTGTGGAACATTAACTTTAAGTGGAATTGTAAATGCCCTATATGAGAGAAAAAGAGACAATGGTGACTTGATTAATTAAATAAGTCTATGTGATCTGAATTAACCGAAAAAATCCCACGCCAAATGTACACGTCTCTCTCTCTCCCTCTCTCGCTCTCTTTCTCTTTCTCTCTCTCTCTCTTAAAAGTGCTTAAACAATCAAGTGGTAAATATGTACCTTTATCACCGAATCGACATCGACGGACACTTCTGTTTGTAGATACCGGACCAATCTATCAATGGCCACGCCGCAGGCACGGGAGAAATCTTCATCCGGTTGCAGGTATCTTGAAATAAACTTTTCTACTTCAGACTCACTCTGAGCCATCGAAAATAAACCTGCCTTTGCCTGTGCCATTTTTGATAAGTCTACATGTACATACGTTGACCTCTGCGTCTCTGTTAACAAATTGTAGCCTTAAGTCTTAAAATATGCCAGCAGGATCTGACTAACTGATAACTTAATATGGCATTGCAGACACCCGCCCTTAAAAGCTGGGTATATGTTCCAAAACATGTCTTTTCGGGATGATGTGTGAAACACAATATTAATGGTATAATATGAACGCTTCTTTTGATTAAGGGTTTGAGGATATTTATTGAAATATATTACTCTAATAAGACCGCTATCCGTCGACTTTTAGATGTACAGACATCTTATATCCAGCCGTATTGTCAATTGAAGATGAAGTAATATTGTCCACTTGTTTTGAATGAAAAGGCAGAGTCTGCGTGGCATTTAAAGCGTATGGATTCGGAATTCTGAATACAAGTCACAAAATAATAGGTTTTAATTACAATGTACTTTCGTTTTAGGCACTTCAGTGAGACTGGTGAATATGAGGTCAAGGTCATATGTCACTGCAAAGGAACACGATTATCTGTTACCGTGGGCCAGGCAATACTGGTATATGTATTCACGCTAAAAGGGGATAAATGTCAAAGATGCATTTGAAGTCAAATTTGGCCACAAAAGCTGATCAAATACCACCCCATAGTTTGAAATAGTACATGTATAACTTATAGAAATACCAAAGTAAATCGAAAAATTATATATGTGCGAACATTCATCTAAATAAATAGCAAATCGAGTCACGGTTGACAAAATTGCTGTCACGCTCCGGTCTCTAAAAAATCCTGCCAGCCAGATTTTCACAGTGATTCGAATAACTCACCGAAACAAGCACTTGGTTAGGTTCTTGCTGCGCATTACCCACAAAAGGGCGGGGAGCGTAAACTCAGAGTGATGTTCTGCTGTTAAAATGTGTGCCCAAAGTGCTGTCGTTGTCGATATCAATACGTCTCATCTAACGCAATCGCCTTTCGTCATTTAATGAATATTTGAGTGGTATCGGTCGCCAAAAGTTTTAAGAGCGGGCGCATACTTGTATAGGGCACGACCAGGCGATTCTCTTCAGTTCGTAATTAAGAGTTATATGAAACTTTTTCATAGTTTTGTTGATGTTGTTGTTTTTGTTGATGTTGTTTTCTTTTACTGCTCTTGAATAACACTTTATTTGCTTATTCATATCAATAGGTATGATATTAGTAAATTGTCATCGCATTTACTCAGTGAAATAAGACAGGTTATATACGTAGAACTGATTGATAAAGTCACGATCCTTTATATCGGTATTAACATGTACAAGATGATTCTTTTAGATGATTTTGGTATTGTTTTAGACAATCCCGTTTCCTCCTTGACGCCATATGCTGCTGTTAACATTGTGTAAGTGTTTATTATGGAATAATGTAGATGAACACTAAATGCGTTATGATTAAGTCTGTATTTATAGCGCTTTTTTACCTTATCGTTTCTTAAGTATACGTCTTTCCCTGTCTCTATATTTTTGTCTCTTTATGTAATTATATTTCAATGTTTTGTTATTTATTATTTCATTATTAAAGATGTATTTCTTTATTTTACTTTTAGTTTCAATACTAAAATGCACTACAGTACATTATTTTGCATAATACGTGAACAATTAAAAGTTCAACTCCTATGGTTCAAGATTAAGTTGTTGGTCACATATCATAACAGCAGCAACAGCAGAAAAAGGAGAGTTAGAACAGAGCAGTAAATGGTGCCATATTTTTGTATGCACAGGCATATCCAGTGCCTGCCTGTAATCGCTAATTGCCACAGAATATATATTGTCAAACGGCATTTTCATTTCATGGTGAAGAAATCAGACACCAACAGACTCAAAGCCAGCCATGTTTTTATCTAATATATATTATTATATCAAATGTTCATTATTTCAGAGCGCAATGGAGACGATCTCTTTAAACGCCCCTGATTTGAAGTCAATGTGTTATGTCTTTATAATATGCTGATTTTGTTATGTGGGTGTTTTGCAACGCTAAGCAAACACGTCATCAGTATGATCAACAATCATGTTATATTTTGTTTACATTACAGGGTTAGACCATTCACTACAATTAGAAAGTAAGGTTATTTACTAGTTATTTTTAGTCAGTTTGGATTTGAGAGTTCTAGGAATAACGATTCAAACCACCATTGCAGCCTTTTTCTTCGCAGCTTCACGGGCCACTGCTGTATTTGGGTTTGGTTTCGAGGTGTCGAAGGTGAACACCATGCAGGGTTCCGAGTCTGGGACCGCCTTGTAAGCGCCATTGAAAACAGTGCTGCAGAAGTCGGTGGATGAATTGTAAATCTCTGTGTATTTCCTACATACCGAGCCCTCTTTGCAGGTGTTCAACCCTGGAATGTTTTTTTATATTTTCAACTTATAAAGTTAAGAATTTCAAAATAAAGCAATAAAATTAAATATATGTAGATGATACCGTACAGTGGTGCATATACCTAGGTAGCATATATGTAGAAATGCACCTGATTCTGCGGCAGCAGTGAACATTTTAAAAGCTCACAATATTTTTAAAAAATGCTCTGACCTTCCGTTAAACGTTATATCCAAATACAGGAATAAAGACATTATAAACTGGAATGGCACCCTAGCAAATACTATAGTCAAAGAGTAACAGCAACAGGTTAAAGGCAATTTTACATATGTATAAATGTTTAATTTTATTTAATGCAATCAAATAAAAATAATCAAACAAATGAAACAGAAAAACATATTTACGGAGGCGTTAACGAAATTAATAACGAAACTACTTTCTCCAAGATATGGCCAATCATCAAGTAGATCTAAATTGCTACCGTTGCTACTTGTATACTCCCAGCCAACCACCCTTTAACCGGATGACGTCACTCACCCTCAAGGCTCCAGTCCATGTCAACCAGCCAGTTCCTGTGACAAGTGTATTCCTCTTTGCAAGCTTCCCACCACTTGTTACACTGACTGGCACACAGAGGCAAGTTATATAAGACATCGAAATGCTGGAAAAAATGATAAAAATATTTGTTGATATGAGAGAGAGAGAGTCAATGGAGAGAGAGAGAGAGAGAGAGAGAGAGAGAGAGAGAGAGGAAAGGCAGTTCATCAAAGGTTAGTACATACATACTAGATATCTGTCGATCCATGGTCCCAGGTTTGGTGAGCAGGCATAGAAGCAAATCTGTTCAAATGTTAGTCTCTCACACTCCGGAGAAAGGCGTGGTTTCTGAGGACATTGGGCGTAATTGGCTATCTCATTCCAAACATGGTTTTCCAGGAAATTTGCAACTGCATTCACATTGCAGCAGGATCTTTTTCGGAAACTTGGGCACTAAAACAGAGGTTAAAGGAAATGTTTTAGTCCCCTTTACTGGTTAATGACACATGCACCTTGTCAATGTATGCTGGTCAGTGTATATACACGGAAAAACTAACTATAAAGAAGAAAGAAGATTCATTTACTATTTTTTTTCTGATAACTTAGATCCTAAGCTTTTATTTTATGTCTGTGTGGAATACGGAAGTTGGTTTTATGCACAAGACTTAAATGAAGTATCTACTGTAAATTTCACCCTGTAGTACATCAAAAGTAACTAAGAATATATTTTATGATGAATGTGATATACAGGGTTTATCTAGCTGGGACAACAGTATGTAAAAGTTTTGTAGCAACCAACTTGGATTTCAGAACTTTGCATCTAAATAAAAGGCTGTGTCTGAAACAAAATCCGTAGATAGAACGAGAAGACCCCTTTCTACTCTACTTTGATGTCTGTTTATGTGTGTGCGTGTTTGTTTGAACGTTTGTTTATGTTTGTTTGTGTTTGTGTGTGTTTGTTTCTTTGTGTGTGTATTTGTGCGTGCGTGTGTTTGTATGTGTGTGTGTGTGTGTGTTGTAAGTAGTGAGGGATATTTTGGCTCTAGTTCAACTTTTAAAAACTTTCTGAAATGTAAATAGGCATTTTCTCCCCGTTCAATCTATAGTGGCAACACAGGTACACGGTAAACTGATCAAGGACGATTGCAGTGTGATTCCCTTTTTATTGATATGTTTGGTTTCCTGCAATTTAAATGGTGACTGGCTAGACAGAGGATTAAACTACCATTTGTTTTGTGCTGGATGGAATAAAAACAAATTATATACATATATGCTTTTTATCGGCTTTTATTGCCAACGTGCTTACCTGCATCTTTGCAGACAGAATGAGTATGTAAATTTACTTTTCGTGATTAATGTGACGCAACTGTTACGGAAAAAAGGAATGAAATGAAATATGAATATATTTCAGAATATAATTGCAGTCTTCAATTGAAGTCTAAAAAAGTTTTTGATTCCACGCGCAGACGGGTCAGGTCCATCACCCAATCCAGGGAATACTGTAGAAAATAATTAACTGTGACCATTTTGCTATCGTGAGCTCATGCATTAATTGTACAATCAATTAAATTGAATAATTATTGGTTAATGGCAGACATGAATATTCTTAATCACTTGACGCATTGTATTAAGGGTGATACTTTTTCTCTCTTTCTAGAGGGGTATATTTTACGGTTTAAACCCCCTTCATACAAGTCCTTAATTTCTTAAGACGTCTTTCTGAAGACAAGGCATACACAGTGTAGCACTGTGTATGTTTGGGTTACCTATTTTGTTATATTGTGACATGAAAAAACGTATGCAATTGAATTTTTAATGCTTTCGTATTATCAAACTAATGTTATTATTAATGTACATAATTCGAACAGCATGCAGTGTTTCACACATGATTAAACTAAATTGAACCGGTAATTTTCACTCCAACAATATGCAATATTTACCTTATAGATAGAAATCATAAATCTCTCTCTCTCTCTCTCTCTCTCTCTCTCTCACCTCCAGTCGGGGTTCGGCGGACGGTCTTGTCTTACTGGCCCCTTCAACTGGCAAGGTTACGCACTTGTTCAAGTAATAGTCTAGACTGTTAGTTTTGTTTTGCGGTACCGCGACTCCAATGTTCAAGCATACGAGACAGAAAATAAAAATTGTTGCCATGATCGCTTACGTTTTCAATAGAATCCTGGTAATCATAGTTTGGGGTGTATTTATATAAGCGATGATGTCACACGTGAATCATACGTGGCAATATCAAGTAACAGACTGTAAACTAATGGCAGGGCAGAAGGCAGTGGGCACAGCTGAACTTGGTGACATTAACGACAGGTCTCACTTAAACATCAGTTTTTTCCACTGTAACAATATCTTCTTTACATATTTAGTGGATCAAAAGTCACAAAATGCCCTGGATCTGTTTTCATGTTGAACTCATAAACATAATATAGAACTGCGTGATATAGTGACATTTAATTAGCGACATCTATCTTTCTGTTACATCAGTGATACATATACTTGAGTGGAATTGGGAAAGAGACAAACGAACGGGTGAGTACAAAAAACTAAGCGTCCATTGAGCAGTAGTTTATCTGCATCCCCCGCTGCATCAGATGTGCCATTTTATCCGCGTCTGTATTCTCAACTAGAAATGTTGGTTTTGGATTAGGGCTCATATATTTATGCTTCAAAAATGCAATGCGCGTTCCGTGCCACAAACACTGCTGTATATATTTCTAACAAAATTACATGATTATACATAAAATCCCATTTTACATATTAAGCACAATGTGTGTAAATTTAGAAATTTTAATTCGAAATTTGAAAGGATGAGTGCGAATAAGGGGGTAAAAGTGCCCACTTTTGTACATGAAAAATAAATTGTGAATGAAGGGAAAAAAATTGATGCCAAATTAAAGTTGGGGTCTTACACTTTTATGATCCACATAAAAAAATATTTTTTATTGAATTTGAAATATAAAAAATTAATGGCAAAATGACCTTGTCAAACATTCATGAAAATGTGTGTTTTAGGGGGGTCTGAATTGTAATGCTACATATCTTTAGTTATAGTAAGGTGACAACTGTGAAATTTTGTAATTAGGTACAGAAGGTGCCAGTGTAAAAAAGAAAGGCAATAAGTGGCCAATCACTGCTTGTGATCAACATTTTGATTGCTTTATTCTTAAATGTAGTGCTGATTGAAAGAAGAATCTTACAGTGACTTGATGATGAACACTCAAAGTCAATAAAACAGTGCAATTGCACTTTGAAAAATGTGCTTATATGACCAACCCCACATAATGTTCATCTCTTAGGAAAACATAGTCCCATAGCTCGGGAACACTGCCCAGAAACAGTTTCAACATTAATCTTTCTGTATTTTTACAATCGAGCTTTAAAATATGGCACTTTTTTGTTCTTTTTTTCACAATGTAACATTCGTGACCATGTCAAGGCTGTCCCTATATAGTGGATAAAAGTATTTCTTCTTTTAGCTTAACTCAATAACTTCTTTTATTCTTGAAGCTTGTATATTTGTTTCACAAAACAAACCTTCAAATGGGCATGATATTTTATTTTATTCATATATAACTCACAACAATAATCAATGAAAAACAATAAACACGTAAAAATAGAAATTCAAACAAAAAGACTAGATTTAAATATCAATATCTTTGATGTATTACGTATTAACTTAAAAAAAACAATATTTGTTTTTCATACAAATATTTAAAAGAAATAAAATCATTTGATTTCACAAATTTACATTTTCTCCTTCATTTTTGGACGAAATAATTAAAAGATAGGAAAGGTAACGTATGTTTCATACATTAAGTAATAATGCCTCAATATTACAGAATGGTTTAAGTAATTCAGTCTATCAAGTCATTGATTTGCTTTACACTTATTGTTCATATTAAGATCAAAATACACCATTTTATATGTCAAATTACATTTTCTAACAATTCCTGGTGGTCTTATTTTTACATTTTGAACATAAGTACACCATTTATGTTGAGTTATCCTTTTTATTATAATCACTGTGGAAGAAAAGAATAAACAAGAGTAATTTCACATTGTTAACAAACAAACCTCAGTTACTCAGAACCTTTTAAACTAACATAGTGATGGTGATGCATATGAAATGTCTCAAATATAATCTAAGAAAGTCTGTAACGTATGTTACTTAATTCAGCAATCCGGATCTTTTCTGCCTTAAATTGCCAACATGAAAATGATGTCACGGGAAAACATGACAAATTACAATTAAACACTTCATTGCTTATGGAGGAAACATGAAACATAACCATAATAAAAACATCATAAAACCTGTTCCTTACTCCCTTCAAAATCAAAGTTACGTATGTTACACATGATGAAATATGATGCTCAATTATGCCTGAATTTACTCTCAACCAATCTCACATCCTGCTTACTGAATTTAAACATTCTTTTTGTTTTCCCGGAAGGTTCTGGGTCACTAACTTTGCATAGAATGTTTTCATACGGCACCCAAATAATATCAGGACTAGTAGGCCATTTGTAGTTATCTTTCGTTTTTTCCATGAAGGAAATTTCCAACTCGTTTTCTTCTCTGTCATTCTGCAATACTTTCCCAATGTACCACTCTCCAGAATATATTGCTGCAACATATTCATCATTATGAAATTCAGATCCAATGGGACTTTCCTCCCTTGAGACATTTTGAGGGTCAACAGATGTCTCTCTTTGTGCCTCTGTTTCTCCAGATGTGACATTTTGCAAATGTTCTTCTTGGGGAATTTGATCCTCTGTTGAGGACTTCTGAGACGCCTCTGGTCTAGACCTTCGGGAAATGTTTGCCTTCGTCCAGTTTGTACAATTGCCTCCATTCAAGCAGATGTCACAATAACATGAGGTTTTTGAGATATGAAGGTCGTCATCAATTTTTTTACAAGCATGCAGTGACATTGTACCTTTGACAGGTAGCAAAGTACATTTCTTCAGGTCTTCTGCTTCCCTATCACATGCATCTTTCTGAACAAAGAAAAACTTGATACTACGGAGATTTGAATTCTGTGCCCATACATAGAAATCCTCAGCATCTTGAATGTTGGCTTTCTGGGCATTAACTGCTTGGTCTGCGAGTCTTTTGACTGTCCCACCAACACCATCACATGGACCTTTACCGTGCCCACTCTCGAAATAATTCCAAGTTGCAGGCATCCCATATCTCTCTGTGTGTCTCAAAATAAAATCGAAAATATATCTGTTTCGATATTGACTGGTTGGGCTATCTGTCCAATAGTGGATATGCTGTACGTTTTGTAATTCCATTAATTCCATCGAGTATAACTTGTCAAGTATTGCGATGACAGTTGAAGATGCATGTACAAGAGTATTAGACACAGCAACATAGCTACGATGCTCCAAACTACCATCACTTCCCCTGAAGTAGATCACGATAGGATGCAGCGTAACCTGTGATGAGTTCCAGTATGCCGACTGAATTTCCTCAGCTGTTTTACACGAGTAATTCTGGGCAAAATCCATATGGATAAAAACTTCGTTGTTTGGCAGGTTTTGCTTTAAAACTTTGCTCATTTCAAACTGGCGACTTACCCTTGATACATGGTCTTTAAATTCTAAAAGTTCAGATTCCCATATTGGCCAAAATTTCTCTCTCTCCATCTCTTCCTTTAATATTTTCATTTTCATTTTTCCTCCCTGGCATTCTACTCGTTTCCAAATAGAGAAACTAATTTTCTCTGGAAGGGTTTCCTTGGAAATGGTGACTTCCTGCTTTACAAAGTCATCTGGACTGGTTGTAGGGGAAACTCCAAGCATCTTAAACATCTTTAACTTGAACGCAAAATTCTGATGCTTCGTGCACAAGCAGGTGTTTCGACTTATAAATGTAGTGGTCAAAACATAATTTGGCCTCATTCTGCGAAAAGTTGAAAGGGAAATGTTAATATTTGGATTCTCCGCTGTAAACTTCATGTATAGATTTTCGATGTAGTCTGTAAGGATTCTTGTTTGGCACTCCCCTTCCTTCGTTTTGATAGAGTCCTTTTTTCCAGGCTGCATTCTACTGTTGTCGTCGCGGATGTAAAATGCTGTAACCTCTCTTCTGAAATTGTATGCTGTTCGTTTTCTAATCTTTGCTGTGTTGATACCTTTACGAATTATATTTGATATCAGGTTTCTGTTTATTTTTGATGACTTGCTAAAATGTGAAATACATCTGTACTTTTTTAACAGTTTTCCAGCAAAACTACCATACAATTGCCTCTTCTTTGCATTGCTTGTTGTTACATGCTTGAATTTTGAAACCTCAGCCGTGATGACGTTTGTAAGCAGTAGTTGTTTTCTAACTCTTTCGCCCCCAGAACCCTTTGATTTTAGAAAGAGTCTCTTCGTATTACTTCTAGGTGTGTTTGGGCATGCTGGTCTATTCATCTTTGTTTTCCATCTCTGCATCTTCCTTTGAACGCATTTTACTTTCTTTTTTAGACCTTCATTTTCCTTTTTCAAAGATTTTAACTTGTCTCTGCTCTTTCTCAATGCTTTGCTTAGCCTCTTTCTGGGTCCGTTTCTACGATTCGGTAACCTTACTATGAGTCTAGTACTATGGTCACTTTGCATTGTTTCATAACCACTGGTATCATTTGTGGATTCTACAGGGTTTGGAATGTCGATTGCAGCATTTTCAACTTTTTTCTTCTGTCTGCACTTTCTTACCCGCTCCTTTACTTCATCTCTTCTTTTTGACCTCTTTCTTTCTGTTAAAGTTCCTACTGGGACATAATTTCTTTTTTGTCGTGCTCTCTCTTTAGCAAGGTATGTTTCCCTCTCATTTCTTTTCTTCCTCTCCCTATAATTCTTTTGTATTTCTGCTCTTGAAAGCGGCATCTTGACCTAAAATGATAGAAGAAGAGATTTGTAACATACGTTACCAGACCAACGTGGAATGCATGTTGTACAATAACACTAAGCCATATCTTACTTTTAGCTTGTTTTTATTCATTTTCATGTTAAGTATATGCAATCGATCCTTTTCTAACCAAATATCCAATATTTCAGGAAGAAAAAATAATACCGAAAGAAATATTGTTCAATTAACATTATTCTTTATTGCATAAAATTTTCCCCATGCTTTTTCCTTACTTAGTTCTTATAATTTTTCCTACTAATGGCCTGAGTTTAATTGATGAACTGACTCCCAATCTAAGATACTACAGAAAATCAAGGTTTCTTATCTTTTTATTGTTCAATATATACTAAGAAATCTAGCTATAACTAGAGTAACATACGTTACCAAAAGTAACGTATGTTACTTTCACTGAATGCCCTACAATTCCAAGAAGAAAAACATTTCAAGCTAATGAAATAAGTTAATGTCTTGCAAGCACTTCTCCAAACTAATCTACATATGAAATGTTTCTTTTCAGCAAGATTGATATAATATTTTTGAAACTCAAATAATAGTGGTACTTACCTTAGAATATGGAAGAGTATTTCTAGGTTTTCCTTCTACGAAGGCATGTTGTATTTAGTGGCTGAGAAACAGCATGGCGTCTTCAACTCATGTGACTAATCATGTGATCACAGATAAGGGGGAAAGGGTTTTACAAGGAATAATTTGAAAATGTAGGTAACGCATGTTACATCACGTATGTTACAAATCAGCTTTGACTATCAAATTATGCCAAGATCTGAGACACTTTTTCTGACTTGTTGATTTATTTTCTTCATTCATCAGCAAATATTGAAATTATGAAAGAAGCCATCGTATACTGTAAGCACTCAAATTATATGATAGGTAACGTATGTTACATCCTTAAATGACCAAACAATTTCAGGGTGAAAATCCTTTTTGTTTTCAGATAACCTTTATTGGAGTGAAAGTTTTGATTATTCCTATATATGATAACATTTCCTATTCATCATAAATAAATGTAGCTGCTTATAAATGTATCGCAAGGCAATTTACTACTATGTTTTAAATATAGGGTATTGAAAATTTAAAAATTGGCGACATTTTTCTACCAAATAAAAGCAAAACGTAATATGCTTCGATGGAAATACAAATTAGCATAAAAAGTTGGATATACATCACCCTTCAATATAATAAACAAATTACCAGGGTTTTCAGCCTTTATAACTCGTTTTATATATGTTGAAGACAAAAAATTAGAAAAGCGTCAGTAACGTATGTTACAAAAACGTGGGTTTAAGCAGGTACATCGTGAAAATGACTTAACTAAACTCGACTTTTGCAATATGGCCAATAAGGTCAGAAATCTCACTAAGTCATAATATAGTGAAATGCCCCATATCTTGTGTCTTTTAAACGTGGGAAGGTGACACCCCCATTTGCACTGTTTTATTGACTTTGAGTGTTTAGTCAACAGGGTCAAACATAGCTCTGGTACTATTTGTGTGTATAGAGATCGATATTCGCATGCATGTAATACGTAGAGTAAAATAAGAGAATGTTGGAAAACTCTCTCCCACACACATACATAACCCCACATGCATGCAAGCACTTACGCATACACGCGTACACACACCCCAACGCAGGCGTGTATGCGTACTCAAACTCGATAAACTGTGGGCGCACACACACGCACGAACACACACACACACACACACACATACACACATGTGCCATGGTAAACTGCAAGTAAAGAGATCAGCCAAAATCATAGTCAAGCATGTCCCAATTTTCTGCTTTACATGCTAGTTACTTACAGCAGATAAACTAAGCGCATTATAGTAGGTCAGTTTACAGAGCACTACGTAGCCTACTGTATATGGAAATATATGTGTTAGCACTTTTGTGTCGGTGGACAATATGCATACAGGTCACACAGTACGCATAGCATATAAAGCGCACATCAGAAACAGTAATAACCGATTAAGGCCCCATCCCCACAGACACATACTGTAGTTCTAAGTGGATCGACTTAACTCTGAGAGGATTCTCGCTGAGTGCAATCACCACTAGATTACCATGCCTTCTTCTGGCGTTTTAAATTAAATACATACCTACATGTAACGCTGGCAATTGTAAAATTATGATGGAAACAAAAGTAGGCGTGTCATTCATTTAAGGTGATTGCAATTAGCGAGTCCCTGCAGAGTTGGATCGAAGTAGGCCTACGAAGTCCGATAACGTGTCTATGAGAATTCAGATTTTATGCAAGAAAATTCGCTCTAGTACAAGTGGTACATGTACCTGCATGATCTCCTCTCCCAGTTCTACCTGCCTCCCGTCCTGCAGGCGGAGCATGGCCGTCTTGTATGGGAAGAGAGCCGGGTGGGCCAGCCCTGCATTCAGTGGTATCACCGCCTGGTCACTCTGTACCTCCTCTGTCTGCCGCCGGAGATACGGCCGCTGTCGACGTCTTCCTACAGCGCTGAGAAAACGCCGGTACGCCATGACAGAGGGACCCGTTGCTGTAGTAGGCTACGGTCCAAAGGTTTGCTTACCTAGAGATCACCCTAGTGTTACCTTAAGCGCTGTACAGTCAGTGATGTCGGTCGACCTGGTCAGTCGAGAAGGGTCGGACTAATAATACAAACACATGGCGTGCTTGATCATTCTTTCAAATTAACTGGCGAAGTATATAGAGTACAGTAATGCATCTTTGACACCCTCTCCTTATACGCCACTCCTAATATAGGATATTACGTCTCTTGTTTAGGCAGCTTATGACCTTCTCAGCAATAACGTACCTCTTTTAACTCAGTGGAACACGAGCTGCTTTGCAGAGAATGGAATAAACATCTGAACTTGACCTGGTTTACTGTTGCCCTGTGGTCACTGCATAACTAGGTCAACGATAGTGACGTCATTACAAGATAGGCTTTGCCTGCTGCCCATGGTCAGCGGCAAGGTAGCTCGGGGCGTGGTAAAAAAAAAAAAATAATAATAATAATAATAATAAAAAGTAAAAAAGGGAAATTTTAGTCCGAAATTCAGAATGAAAATTAGTTTAAGCTAAGAAAGCAAAATATCCAGTGCATTTTGACCCAAAATAAACCAATGTTAGTCCCACTGATATGAAAAAATGTAGGCCTACGAATTTTCTGTTAATGATCCTGGAGCTCGAGAATGTTGGCTCAGTTCTTTAAATTATATCAATTACTAAAATTCGATAAAGTTATAATGTTTATTCTTGCAAATGAAAGTTGTTTTACATTTTATTTATAAATGACTGATAAAAAGCAATTAAAATACATTGTGACATTATCAAACATAAAAGAAAAATTCACTGATTAAAATATTAAATCAAAACTGCTCCTTTAAAATAGTTCAATATCATAAAAAAATTAATTAATATCAAAATATTAAGTCGGCTTATGTTCTTTTTTTTTTAATTAGNCCCCCCCTCTTAAATAACCCTGGATCTGCCCCTGTTAACAGTCTGATTGGTAAATAAGCCAGTCGACAAAATAAATAAAGAGACCAAGCGTGTTTTTCAGTAGTCATGCTAGAAACCCACCAAACTGTATTCGGTCCTTATTACATGTAGCCTACTCATTCATATGAACCTTGACGTTTAATATAGGGCCTGATCACATGAAAGACCTGTCGAAAATCTGGTACAAGTTGTTTTATATATTTATATATATAAGACTAAGAGAAATTAAAAATGATATGATGCATAAATCATTGACGTCTCTCGTCTTTGTTCTCGTTAAAAACGTAACTTCTGATTCCATGAATGGCGAACGTGGGCTTGATGCTGAAAATTTAATTTAGTCGGCAGGCCAATTCCCCTAACTGAGCAAAATATATCGTAGCATGGTAGTAGACATTATCGATTCTTTGTGTGTGTGTGTGTGTGTGTGTGTGTGTGTGTGTGTAAAGAAAATCAGACACCCATTGCTGATTTTTCAGAATAATTTTCACATAGAGTATCGTATGTGGCATAGAAAATTTGCACGACTTTGAGCTTATGAAGGTATCACCACCGGGTTTAGTGAACATGAATTCGCGAACAGTTTCAGTAACAACCTCTCACCTAAAATGAGCTATACCTGTTGTTATTTGCATAACAACAAGTTAACTGTCCATCGTAGTGCGAGCTGTCTTTCCTTCGGACTATCGAGACGCCCCCGTCTTTCCGAAAGCTCACTTGGCTGTTAGACGGAGTCGGGTGTAGACGGATGCAGTCAGAAGGTTGAGCTTTTATAAGGCGTAGAAGCAAATGTATGTTTGTGAGTATCATTATTTCTTCATCAACCACGGCCATTAAATACTAAAGGCGCAGAAGAATGAGATAAAATATTTACGACAAACATTTATGACATGAATCTTTTTACTGTATTTCCATTGTTACTTGTATGCCACTAAGAATGGTAGAAATTATTGCTTACAGTGCATTGGGACTCAGAATGTTCAGGATAAACGGCGCATTCATCGGACTTTAGATGATAACCTAAGTTTGCTTAAAATTCACTGCACTTTGTAGCCGTCTGTTCGAACATTTTATGTGCCCCGGCCTTGACAATTAAATCTGAATATTTTGACCTAATTTAAAATGTCGTTTGTGTTTAATGTAAGTATTACCACCCAAATTAATTAATCCGATGATGCTTGTCACCTTTCTGTGCTTCTGATCCAAGGGTTTTGAGTGCTCATTACCCAATTATTGACAGATACATATTTTACACAGCCTGTCGTCTCTATTGTGCAGTGTGCTGCCCGTCCATTTGACTGTTCACTGTATGAAAACATATTATATATGTGCAATATATTTGTTATAATTTTCGAAGAGAATTTGTAAATGATCTCTTTCTCTGAAATGCGTCAACATGTACTACAACACGAGTTATATAACTTTTAATATCAAGAGGAATAGGTCAATGGTCGTAGCAATAACCTCACCCACCCTGCAAATGAAATGGGTTGTGCTTTCAATGTTACCTTTTTTACAAGATGCCTCAATTAGTTAATGAATTAAGTAATTCCAGATCATAATTTTGGTTTTGTGCTAGCTAAACCTGAACATCAGACTAAGTTATAAACGTGCACGCCATTCCATTTATATGTGCCATCTGCCCTGTGATATTATATGCATTATTACATTGTAAAGAGCCTGTCTGTTTAGTTCAAAGTTGAATACATTATTCTATCTTTTCAGGAGCTCAACGAGATTCTGCATAGCATCCGCCTGAAAGCAACCTATGAAGTCTAGCCTTTGTTTCACACACAGAAACCCAAGCTCCTTATTTGTACATCTGTTATATGAAAACTCAATAAAAAAAATTCTGTAATTTGGCGTTTTATTTTTCACTTTGTTATGAAATTACTATGATAAGGATAGTAGTAATCATAATGGAAAATGAGTTTTTTAGTGTTTGAGGGCTTTTAAATTCAATCTGATCAGTAAATAATGTTAATGTTTTTGTGGTTGACGTTTTTCTGTGGTACCTAAATTTGAAATTATTATTTTCTAATAAACCCCTCCAAGCTGTTTTAGCGCACTGAAATAAAATATCTAAAATGGTTTCCAACAACCTACATTTTATACTAGTATTTCAAATTTATATAAACTAATTTACAATCCTGGATTTAAAAAATTCACATGAGATTTTTGTTATATAACAAAGAACTAATAACAAGAACTAATTCTTTTGGATATAATTTTTCCTATATTTTCCATTCTGACGGGTTTTGGTTTTTGCTATCGTGAATTGTTTTAATTGGGTGGCCTATTCTTAGTATAAATACTTAATTTGAAATTTGAACGTAATAATGAAAAGGTGGGATGATTCTGATGTAAGCTTAAATCAAGCCAGTTTTTGTAAATGGATACGTCTGAAACTGGCCAAAATATTTGATTTCTAAGGGTATATTAGAACAATTTCTTCAGTTCCTGTCCTCTGAACCAAATTGGGATGATTACAAGACTCACCCCACCTGTCACCCCTTCTAATGCAATGGAATCGTCCCACCTGTCATCACTCTAATGCAATGAACCTGCCCCATCTGTCACCCCTCTAATGCAATAGAATCGCCCCACCTGTCGCCCCTTTTAATGCATTGGACTCGTCCCACCTGTCACCCCTTCTAATGCAATGGACTCGCCCCGCCTGTCACCCCTTTGATGCAATAGACTCGCCCCACCTGACACCCCTCTAATGCAATGGACTCGCCGCACCTGTCACCCCTTTAATGCAATGGACTCGCCCCACCTGACACCCCTCTCATGCAATGGACTCGCTGCACCTGTCACCCCTTCTAATGCAATAGACTCGCCCCACCTGTCACCCCTTTAATGCAATGGACTCTGCCCACCTGTCACCCCTTTAATGCAATTTAATCGCCCAACCTGCCACCCCTCTAATGGAATAGAATTGCCCCACATAACACCCCATTATGATTAAGTGGATTTTCTCCACTAAACAGGAACCCCTGCCATGGAATGTACTCCCCCAACTTGTCTATCATATGACCTTGGCGCACCATCCAACCTTACATGCTTCAGTCAAGTCGTCACCTTTTCACATCTCCTGTGTTAGCTGACCTTTTTAGCAATTTATTAGAATAAATTTTCTAAAACAAAGACAAAACAATCCATTAATTCATCACAAACGCCAATCAACTAATCAGGATTACTTGAAACCACCTTTTAATAATTTTGATAAACCTTATAACATAATTGAAGTCTATTTTTAAAGTTTTTTTTAAAGCTTTTCATCATGTCGGTAATTTTGGGTAGGTACCGGCTGCTAAAATCCTCATCGCTCTAGTCGCCGACTAACCAAAACCCCAATTTGTAATCAGCCACTAGGACAGCGTATGAGTAATGACACGGGTTTGATGCCCAACGTTAGACCGACAACATATGGCGTGGCAACTGCTGGCTATATTGGTAAATATAACTGACACATATATTTTTATTTTTATAACATAGTTAGAACGTTTTAATACTAGATGTAATAATTAAAGTTGTGCAAATTGTAGTGATGCAAAATATGAAATCCTTTATTCATTTGTTTTTGCTAAAATTAACAAATAGGCCTATGTATAATTTGCGAATTTCATAAATATTTATACACGTTAATAGAACTTGCTGGCAACGTTTCTCGGATCAATGATAATGACAGTGGCAGTTAATAGAATAATGTTCTCTTAACACTTGTTGATGGTCTAACAAATATATTATAACCCTGTTATCAAAACGTTCTGTGCAAACTGGGTATACGTTACCTTCATTATATTGCATGTGTTAAACACATTTATTAACAAGGGACCTAATATCTATTAAATCAAACTTGATTTTTTTAATTTTTAAATTAACTAAAAAGGGCATTAAATAAACTTTTTATTAATGATAACAAATATTGATTTATTGTTTTAAAAGTAACTACAAAACTTTCAACCTGAAAGGTACACTCCATGGATTTGAAAATCCCCCAAATGCCATCCACAGCAGTGGCGGATTTAGGGGGGGGGGGGGGGTGTCAGGGGGGTCCTGACGCTCCTTTCAGTTTCTGAAAAAAATCACACCAATGGTCTCCCTCTTGCAATTAGAATTTTGACTAGCTGAATCCTACCGGTAGTTCTAAACCGTACCCTGTGGGGGTCTTATGGGCTAATAGCTGGAAATTTTGCATTACCTAATTATTATCATTAAAACTACGTTAAGTGATTTTATTAAATTAATCTAAAAGCACAAAACCGATATTTTAATTAGGCCTATGGTTAAATATTTTTAAAAACAGAGAACAGAATTTTCTTTTCTTTCTTTCTATTTCTTTCATTATTATTATTATTATTATTATTATTATGCATTCGCTAAATTTCAATTTTTTAATTCTTAGATCAAAATACTCCTCAAATATAATTTTATGAGATTTCATAGAGTTTAACTTCTTGGCCCTAGATGCCGTCGACCTCATTCTCTCTCCGTCCCCCTCACTTTCCACCACCTAGCCTGAAATCCCGCTTTCCGACATTTTGAGAAAATGCAATGACCTTGAGATAATGGAGGTCATTGATCGGCGGGATTTCAAAGATGTCGGATGTGGATTCACAGTTCAAAACAACCGCTGCTTCCCTAAAAAAGGCACAAGAAGTAGCAGATCAAGGTATATCGTTAAATGTTTAAAATGTGCTGTACAGCTGAACCCATTTATTTACAGTGTGTGAAATATATTAACATATATCTCTAGAAGCTGAACTGAATGAGTGTGTCCACCTTCGTTTTGTTTTTGGTAAAATTTAATTATGGGTTCGGCCTCTTGGCACGGAGTTCAGCCGGCAACACTTGCGTTAGGCTGGGACTGCAAATCCTATATACGAGTTCTGGTATCAGAGGGGGTGCTAACACTTGAAATTTTGTTAGTTAAAGTGGTGTGTGTGCGTGTGTGTGTGCGCGTGTGTGTAGGGGGATAGAATAACCTTACCACTACAAATTGCATACAAATATAAGGTTGTAATTGAACCATGTTTGTTGTGGATATATCATTTCAGTTAATGAGAAGTTACCCATCAACCTGACAGGTCATGATGTGGAGCAGTACCCTGAGTTTGTGAAGCTGCTGCAGGGGTTGAATCAACATCTCACAGAGAAGGGAATCAGTCGTGCCGTACAGAAGGATCTTGTGCAGGTACAGTAGCATTTGAGCTACATGTGTCAGCCTCTGGCATTTTTTCACATTATTTTTTTGTTGGTTAATGTATGTTATTCCAGATGTAACTGGTTAAGAGACAGAGTAAGACATTCAGAATAACAAACTACTAGATTGTATTGGAAATTTTACTCAGAAATGATTTGACTAATGTGGAGTGTCATGCTCTGACATTTTTAAGTGCTTGTATATAGCTCAATCATATGTTTGTCTTTGGCCTTTTTAAATTTTTAAAGTCTGAGCAAAATTAACATTTTTGTTTAGTACAATAATTTTTTGGCACTTACTCTGAAATGCAGTATTTTCAATATATAAAACCTCGATCCCAGAGTGTTTTAGTACATATTTTGCTGTTTGTACTTAATATCACAGTAATTCTTTTCACAGGCAGAAGATGCCCTGAAGCAGGAAAAGCATGCTTGGCTTCAGTTTCACATTCTTTACCTAGAACTTCAAGAGTTGATTCTGGACTTTGAGATCAAAAGTCAAGACATGGCCCCCAGTTCAGCAAGTAGCCAGGTGAGACTGGAAGAAAAATCAATTTGAAAACGAATTTAATAACTCAGAAAACATTAAAAAGAAGTACTGTAGTTTTAAGAATTGCAGAAAATTTATTTTGTGTGACGAGTTGAAACCAGGGAGCATAGGATCCAATATTTTGTTTGTATTGCAGGTAAACTAATTTCAATTAGCTCTTTCACTTGGTTTCTCAAAAGTATTATAAACCATTTTTGGGGGTTCACATCAACATATTTTGTTTTAGTCAAATAACTCTGTTTTCACCAAATGAGTGAAAGTAAATTGTTTTTCACTTCTGTGTTTGTCTTTCCTTTGCTGTAAAAATATTTCATTAATTTCTGCATTTTGTGAAAATGATATTTGATAAAAGTGGTCTATCATGCGTTAGTGAGTATATGGACCTACATTACCACATTACCTAATATTGACAGAGAGAGTAGTACTTTTTGATACATTCATCTACTCATTTTGATATTTTTATTTATTACCTTTGACAAGGAAGTCATGTTTTCATTGCCATTAGAGAGACACAAGCAGTGGTAATTACACCTTGACCTATTTTATATTTATAAATATTTGTTTTTTTTTAAATCATTTTTCATATTTTAGTATTATGAAGCCCTCAAAGATGTGGTGACGCTGGCAGAGTTAGGCGACTACCTGAACTGCTCCCTCCAAGCTGACAATGAGGCCACGCTACTGGGACTAACACAGGAAGGTCTGCAGAGGATGAACCCATACAAGAAAGTAAGAGGACACTAGCAGAGCTTGGTTTATTGATTACTTCAGCCAAGGAGATTATGTTTTGTCTTAGTTGATTTGTTAGTTAACAGCCTAACTCAGAATGTACGAGGACAGGGATTGGTTCCCTTATTACTTCTCAAGTCTGCCTTCATTGAAATATGCTGGTAGTTCCTTTTGTTAACTTTTGTGATAAATAGCCATGAAAATATTGTATTTATTATAGCATTTCTGCAGATATAACATAAGTTTTAATAGTAAATATAGGTAGATATGAAATGTTGAACTGAATGGATTTTCATGCAGAATTTGAAATGTTTTATAGGTAGCTGACTAATTGTTTTTACCTTGTATAAATCATAATGGATGTCATTTTGGTCCTTTTTTCTAAAGGATATGAAGGCAATACAGCAAAAACTTGTCCCCGAAGTTGAGGACCGACTGAGGAGGAAATGTGAAAATCTGGTGGAGTTTTATGAGCCGTTACATGACAAAGGTACTGCTACCATATGTTTTTGGATGTTATAAATTTTACATATAGAATAGGAAAAAACTTGATGGCAGGTCTTATGTCAGAATTTTTTGTTGAATAACTTTAGTAAAATTTACTTCATGCTAAAGGCACCATGAATAAAAATACTTGTAGTTTCAGACTGTTCTAGTTTTACCTTATTATACCCAACTAGAAAATGTTCTTATTTTTATTTATCAGACAAGGAGAAGTTAACATTTGCCAAGGCCTTCCAGCTTCCTGCTTTTCTGGAACCTGAGATACATTCTATAGAGGAAGAGAAAAAATTGCTGAAGAAAGAAAAAAGCATCAGAGAAAAACATTTCAGGAAGTATTACCAGGTTTGTAGAACCATGTGTACTTTTTGTAGGATTAGGAGGAAAAAGTTGCACCAAAAGGAGTATTTTTGTATGGAAATATGTAATTTCTAAAATATTTCATTCTTTAAACAAAGTTTGACATTCCACCTCTGTGATGGTGAATTTGTACAGCTCTCCAGTCTGCACACTGGAAATGCCGTGTTTGTGAAATACAAGGTGCAGCCAGCATTTTCAAAGTAGGGATCTTTTCCTGAAAAATAGACAATAAAATCCTTCAGTTGATCCTGCTTGAGAATTAAAAAAGAACCTGGATTTAAATTCAGAGTCGATCTTTTGTGGCCAAAATGGCGTTTCTTTCTATTCCCCTGAAGAACAGATCAGTTTTTAATAATTCTATTTTTAGCCACACAGGATAGTTTCATACATCATTTTTGGTGTTGTTTCAGACTCTCCTTGAATCTCTGCACATACTGGAGGAGCTGATCACTAAACACAGGCTACAGTCTCAGACAGAGAAAGATGGCATCTTGACGGAATGGATGGCAGCAAGGTGCGATGCCATGTGCTTGAAAATAAGGTACTGGCTACTTGAGTCTTTGGCCCCATTCAGAATAGGGGACTGACTAATTCAAAGGTCAAATATGACGACCTACTACAAAGCTTGCCGACTAATCAGCTGTTAGATGCTGAAAAATAGATATCCCATGAGTCGGCCATATTTAAAGCAGAAGTGTAACTGTTATCCATCAAATGATATATTTTCTATATATCTATATTTTCAAAGACAGCTGGGCTCCGTATCTCGAAAGGTTCGCTATGTTGCGCACGTGCGTTAATGTCTTGATTCCATAACCGATTTTATTTCGAGATAGGGGGGCCATGGAAAGCGAGACACTTGCGCATGACTTAAGCTTTAAATTTGTCAAAACTTTGTAAAAATTCTTATTGTGTAAGGTAATGGATAACAGCTGAAGAAAACCAAAAGAAAAATAAATGTTTTCTTTTCCTAAATTTTTTTTCATTAAGTTACTAAATGTGTTTTTTTTTTTCCAATTTCTATCACCTTTTTTCTTTTTTAATAAATCAGGATGGTCGAGATGCAGATTCTGTGCGATACCTACCACACGGAGTCTGTACAGGCACTGAAAGCTGTCAGGTATGTAGTCTGGGAATGGGTTTCCAGGTGGCAAAGTCCCTTTGAATAATATACAAATAATTGTGTTTCCCATAAATGAGCTTGGAGGACTGTGGGGACTGAAAGTCTATTTATGCCGTCGCCTAATTAATGATTTAGACAGTCGACTGTGGTTGTTATGATTGATTGATTAATTGATTGATTGATGTTTCTCATGATTGTACCTTTCTTGTGATGATTTTGATTAAGTTACTATTCCTATTCCTATGCTAAAGATAATTTGGTTAGATTGAAGAAAATTTTGTTTTTTGTCTGAAATTTATGCTGATGGTTGAAATATAGTCCGAAAGGAGTTGTCCAATTAGTACACAATAAGTGAGTCAAACCAATATCAGTGTTATCTGATTCAATGGCAGTACTTAATATTTTGTTCATTTTGGGTTTCTGAATTTCAAACAAAAAATTTTTAATTTAACTTTTAGACCAAAATAAAAATTCACAAAACCTTTATTTTGTTTTCTACTTCTTCTCAGCGAAAACCTTCAAACTGCTGTACACGATCACAAGGCTGAGCTGCACCAAGTCAGTCAAGCACTGACGGCCTACGAGGCAGTAGGAGCTGGATTTGATGAGATGGTTTCGGAGTACGCCAAGTTACGAGACGAGGTAGAAAACAAACGCTGGGCCCTGACAGAACTGCAGCAAAGTCTGGAGGATGACGGGTGATCTTGATGACTGTTTTCTTCTGCATTATTTCAGCCTACACATGTATCTTTCAACTCGCATATTTCTAGTTTTTTGAAGAGATTGCCGCAGGTGTCCTTTTATTCTGTGTATTGCTACAAAGTATCATATGTTCCAATTTGGTGTAGTGTAGGCGTAAAGCATACAGAGCTTAAGTCAATGAATCTCGTATTCCTGTGTGTGCAAGTATAACTTAGATGACATACAGCCATTGAACTATAACACGGCTGCAACAAAGCATTGAGGAAGACATCTGATATATATATCCACTGCTGAGCAGTGAGAAGTTTCTCAACTTGAATATTAAGTACAGCCATTATCAGCAATGGCCCAGTTGCCCCTGACTGGCAGTGCTAGTCCCCATTTCCATACCTAGATCGATCTAACAGGATCGACCAATTTCCAAGGGGAGGGACTCTGGCTAAATCGGCTTAAGCAGCTTAGATGTCTGGGATGAATACTGAAGCTGCTAAAAGAAAGTTAATTACCCCCTAACAGCTTCAGTAGATGTGCCATACATCAGAGCCGCTTAAGCTGAGTGCTATTTAGCAAGAAACCCCTCGAAGATGGGTCGACCCTGCTAGATCGATCTAGGTATAGGAATGGGGTTTTAGATGTACAGTGTCAGCTGTTGGTGTTACTGTTGTCACAAGGGAACCATACTTAGAACTTCTATCTCCATGAGATTACCCCTGAGAGTGTAAACCAGGAAGACTTATCTTTGGAAGAACTATCAATTATCTTTAGTTTGTAACCTTTTTAAGTTTTTTAAAGACACCATTTGTCAAATTAGGGTATTTGATAATCTTACATTTAGGCCCCATTCAGAATAGGGGACTAACTAGTCCGAGGGTCAAATATGGTGACCCACTACAAAGCTTGCCATCTAATCTGCTAATAGACATTGAATAGATATCCCCTGGGGAAGTATTCAAGTGGTTCGGCAATATTTATCCCTTAGACTAGTTAGTACCCTATTCTCAATGGGGCCTTTGTGACTATGCACCATCAGACCTGCTGGTACAGTGTATGTCTGATTGCATAGTGCCTGTTGATGTTCCAAGTGAAAAATTGCATTGTTTAACTACATGAGTTACTGATTACTTTGTGGGCTGTGTATTTTGAATTTTCAAAATTGAACTGAACAGAATAATTTAACATATTACTTTGAAAATGAAAAAATAAGCAAAGGAAATGCAGAGAAAATTTTTGTTGTTTATTTCAATGTTTTTACTTCAGTCTATGTCTTACTTTACTAAAGAACTAAGCTAACTTACTGAATGAAAGGTTATCCTTTTTACCACAGATTTGGACATCAAACACAACAATAGAAATAAATTTGCAACATGCACTTTATTCAACTAAGCAACCTCTTCATATCTTTCATTGAATAGTTGAAAAATCCCAAATATATGAAAAATGTAGATTTAGACATAAATTCTATCAGAAACTAAGATTTCAGTCATCCTGCTTTTTGTTACAAAGCCCAGCAGACGAATTCAGCCAACTTCACTTCCAAATACAGAACTGGGCATATTTGCAATGTGTCATACAGAAATGCAGATAGCTTTTCCTTACATTTAAACTTCTGACATTTACCTTTCCAACAGCTCTGAAACTACATACATGCCACAAACATGAATCCATTTCATAATAAAATTATATGCTTTGTATAAAATGAAAGAATCGTATATCATGAAATAGTTTATTGACTTGGGTGGCTGGGCCTATTCAACTGGCCACAGAGATACTACACCATTTTGTAAATATAAAGTTCAAGATGATATTTTGTTACTTTTCACAATGATTCCAAGTGCATCCATTGACCAAAAACATTTTTCCCTATTTCATTTGAAAATGGCTGCAGTTTATTCAAGGTAAGTTGAGTAAATAATGTGTTTATAATATTTTTAAAATTTGAGAATAGATTAAAGGGGATTAAATCCTTCGCTGTTCATACAATCTGGACAACTTTTCCCATCAAGTGAATTAACACTGAATACACGTAGAGAACAATTTGCTGAATTAGACCAGACTACTGACATCAATAGATATAAAAATGGTCAGTTTAATTTAATATAACTATAATCGTGGTGAAGACAATTCATATGTTCCCAGTTCCTCTTAATAAAAAATGCAGTGACTTGTTAAAGCTCAGAGGAAATAATTGGGGCTGTCACACATAGGGCCAGTCCAGCCCACGCGGCAAGAGCACATGCAGATCATTCCGTTTGGGCCCGGAACAACTTTTAACATCTTTCCGCCATTCATGCACTTCATGGTGGAAGGACTGCAGGGAAATTTGATGATTGAGGGACGCATACCACGCTTGTAGTCATCCATTTCATCAAAGTCCATAGCTCTTCCTGCAACAAATGATGTATTACTGTACAGTTATTTTTGAATAGCAAGAACATTATTGCATCCTAATACCAGATATGTTTTTTTTCTTTCTATTTTTCATTTCAAATTGATATTTTCTTTTTTGTACAATCCAAAATTGTGTCTAAGATCCCATTCCCAGAGATTAGATCGATCCAACTAGATCAACCTAACTCCCTGGGGGTTCACGCTAAATAAATAATTGTCAGCCGAGCGGGCACAAAGTTAATTACTCCCTTACAGCTTGTAGTAGGCGGGACGGACATTTAAGCCGGATTATCTGACAGTAATCTAGTGAGACTCCCCACGGGGATAGATCAATCTAAAATCTATGGGAATGCACCCTAAAACACAATGCAATAGGGATTATGTACAAATTACAATCACAGCATATTTTGTAATTATAAGCTATCTACTTGTTTACTATCAGAGTATAATTACTACTTGGTAATTCAGTAAAATTGCTAAGTCTTTCCATATTATGATTTTACAAAATTCATCTTGGCTACTGATATTATGTGTAGACATTAGAATAATTTAGAAAATGAAAATAAAATTTACAAGTGAGTTTATCGCCCAAAAATTAAAAGAAATTCTATGGAGGTTTGTCTTTATTTGCTTCACATCATTGACATATATTTTTTATTTTCTCTGAAACTGATGATTCAAAATTCCCTTAATGGGCTGATAGGTATTTTCTTAAAAAAGATGTCCACTAATATCTCCCATTTTGACAAATCCACAAAAATTTGAGAATTGCCGATTTAAAAATGAAATAACCATTTCAAGGTATATTCCTTAAGTGTGCTTATTGAAAAAAACTGCCATTAACACCCCATTTCCATAGATTTTTAGATCGATCTATCCCTGTGGGGAGTCTCACTAGATTACTGTCAGCTTGGCCGGCTTAAGCGTCTGTCCCGCCTACTAAAAGCTGTAAGGGAGTAATTGACTATGGTGCCCGCTCGGGTGACTGCAATTTAGCGTGAACCCCCAGGGAGTTAGGTCGATCTAAATCTTAATCTTTAGATCGATCTAAATCTCTGGGAAAGCACCCTAAAAGATGAGGCGGAAGCATTTAAAATTCTTGTGGCTTTGATGGTGCCAGTTCATTACCCCGGAATGGTTTCAAGAGATGTTTTCTGGTTAACAACTTGTCTCTTTGACATCTCAGGGGAGCCATTGGATGAAATGTGCTAAGATTACAGAATTTAAAGGATGGTCAGATCAATTGTGATGAAAAATGGGGGTTAATGCAATTCCCACTGGGCAAAAGAAAAAAAAGAATGAGAATGCATCTTTCAAGCTTTTGCCTGAGTTTCCAAATTTCAGACCTTTTTTTTATATAAAATCAATTTAAATTGGAAATCCAGACAGCCGAGGTCGTAAGGCCACCATAAAGTCATAATTTCCTTTTTCTTTCTTACAAACCAAAATTATGCCTGAAATTTTTTCCTGTTATGTATTTCAATAAAAAGGTAAAAAAAATTATAAAATATGATTTTGCTCATATTCATGTTGTTCAAGTGTTGAAATTTTGTGAAAGAGTTCAGTGGATGTGAATGAAACAAAAATTATGATGTACTTAATTTATCCAGGATCTTCAGTGAATTGATGTTTTTCTGTCATATTTGTGGCTGTCTAAACATTTTGTCTCAGATCTCAAATTCAACCACAACTGATTTAATTAGAAAGAAAAATACCAATTTATATAATTACATAACAGTTGCTCTACTTTTCTTCATTGCTATGGGCACTCAGTAATATGAGCTTTTAATCCAATTTCTGACATAAATTGCTTTTAATAGGTTTTTTGACCCAAGTGTAAGTGAACATGCTTTCCTTTCCTGTAGCAGAACCAATTAACTTGGATAAGATTATTTCAGCAAAATGGGAGGTGATTGTTTCTCCCTAGAGTCTTTTAATTCAAAATAACTTGGTGATGTGAAGATAAAATTCGCATTTACTATGGCAATGAGAGGAAAATTACCTCTCATGTGACACCCCCTATTTTACAACAGCAATGAAACTGCAATTTCCAAATCCACTCAGGATGGGGTTTCCACCAAAAATTGGTCTAAACTTTTAGATGAAATTTTAGTGGACTTGGCCAACTTTAAGTCTATTTCGCCTCAAGTCAGTAGTATTCCATCTCTGGGGAGCCATTGGATGAAATGTGCTAAGATTACAGAATTTACCAACAAATTTACCAGCACCACCAGAGCGGATGAATGTCAGTGTTGATGTATCTCTTTGTTGGTGCTAAATAACTGTACGGCGTGTTGGTTAAATTGTGGGTTTGATGGTTAATATATGGGTGTTAGTGCTAAAAGAACTGCAGGTAGTGTTGGTAAACACCTAATCCGTTTATAAGGCCTGATTAGTAAGAGTTCACAAGATATACCTTAAATATGTGTATATTGCCACAGCCACATAATTCTAGTTATAGGTATGTTCTAGTTAATAAGACATATCTACAATTATCTCTGTGCAATTAAGTGTGTACAAATAATCATAAAGAATAGAAGTGTGAATATCTGAGATAATGATGGCGAATTACCTTGAATTTGTGCAGCAAAAGCCATCAAGACTGCCAAGAACATGGAAATGTACAGCAACCAGGAAACAGCCATAATGAGACCTGCAAGAATGGAAATAGCAAATGAGTATTTGAGTGATAAACCTTTTGTATGAACTGAGAAAACACAGTTTATCTTAATGAATGTAAGAGACAAAGTTTTTTTTTTGTCTTAATGTTCTTGTTGTTTGATTAAAAACTTATCTTTTGGTGAATAATATTTAAGTGTTTTTTCAGTTTAGCTACAAAATCAATTTGAAACAGATAAATGATTTGGATCAGAAATGTAGTTTGAGTGAAGAACAAAGTATATTACTGAATTTTGCACTTTCTTGGTGTATTTCATCTTTGCATCAGACTTTTCAATTTTCAAATAAACTAAAATTAATACGATAATGTTGAACAGTATCGATTTTATCTGCACTGCAACTTGAATGAAGTAAAACTGTTTACTTTTTGGTTTGTTTCTAAGTGCATAACATTTTAGAATAGTATTCTAAATTCAAAATAATAATAATAATAATAAATTAAAAAAACCCATAAAAATGAATTTGATAAAGTTAAGAAAATGAATTGCCCAAAAAAGAATAATAGTCCATAGCTGCGTAAAATAACCTTAAAATTCTGCTTCTATATCAAAGAACTTGTAATTCCTTACAACTTTAATTTTCAAAAAGGAAGACAATTTAAGCAATTAAGAAGTAAAAGGAGTCTACACTATTTTTCATTCATGAAGAAAATGCACACTACAACTCCAAATACATTTCCAGTGAATCTACATAGAAATTATGTGTCACTGTTGAAAGTAAGTCACAAATGATCGCTTGTAAAAAAGTTTTTTTTTTAAGTTTCAAATGTTTCAATATTTGACACAATATGTTTAGAATTTCTCAACAAAAAAATCAAATAGTAAGTAGAATTAAAAGTCCAAAACAAGACAATTTCAAACTTCCACTTAACCTAAACTAGAAAGCAATACAATCTTTTCCCGCAGCTTACTTTTTTCAGTTCCTTCCAAGCTGTCTTCAATGGGTACTCACTCTTCCACGATCAGCCCACTTGTGGTGGCTTTCCTTGAAAGCCAGATTATTAATGGAAATGTGATTACATTCAAGGGACCAGTTCAATTGATCCTGAATTAGATTTACGAGATGCTGGAAACGGCATGAACATTTTTTTCTGTACCTTAAAAGAGGTTAGGATGGGCTTTTACAATGTTCACGAAAGTTGGGGTTGGACAGGAACCAGATTCTGAAGGACTGTCAGTAGAAAATTTTAAAGAGTACGAAACAAAATTATTCACAGTGAGATTTTCATGTAACAGTCAAGCCATACTATAAGTATTGATTCATATTTCTAAAAGTCATTTCAATGAATATAAATCTTCCCTGAAAAAGCAATTTGTATACTGCCAGGATTGTCATAACAAAGCTTCAAAATACCAGTGTTTATATAAGTGTTTCAAGCACTGTACCCAATATTTTTGTTTTAGCCATATAATTCTCATTCCAGTCAACAGCAATTTCTGAGAAAAAAATTATTTTTGAGAAACTGATCAAAAGATACTAAGCCACATAAAGACAAAAATGTTAAAATGAAATATTTTAGCCATTTGCTGATTTTTTTGGACTACTGTGAACTCTGTTTGGTAAATCACCACATATCACTATAATCCCCAATGTTTTTTCACTTCCTTGGTAATTTTGCTTATTCCTTTAAGGAAATCCAACTAACTTTAAAAGAAACTTCCCTTATGTTTGCAACTTTTCCCCCAAACCATATGCAAATCAATAAAAAACACATTTTTTAATAAATGACATAGCTATAAACAAAATGTTAATCAGATTTCCTTAACCAGTGTAAAATGATATAACATTAGCCCTTTAAAGAACTTATTCAAACTGTGAACAGCTGGAGACCCACACTAGTACATGTTTGATACTATCCCCAACTTCTGGAAAAATCAATGGAACCTCAGCCAGATGGATACCAGCACTTCATCCTCAGGAGTGACATTAATCAAAGACCTATCATAGGGTATCCCTGCATATTTCCTATTTTTTTTTTTTTTTTTTTTTTCGGGGGGGGGGGGAAGGAGGGGTTTGATCATGGATCTCAATTGCCTTAGTCATATATGATACATTTTAGTGCCAGCTAATTTGGCAGCAACTCTCTAAGTGCACTATTGAGATGTTCACCTCAGTTTTAAAGCTTATATTTTCTTTTTTTCCTCACTTTTTCGGACCATGGAACGGTCAGTGGAACATGGAATGAGGTTGGGAGACCATCAGGAATCAGCGGCATCTCTTTTGAAGTGTGGTCGGTCATATTTAGTCGGCGGATCAGTTAGTACTCGGATCATCTATTCTGAATGGGGCCTAACAGATCTGCGGATTAAATATGGCTGACCCACTTGCATGCTTCTTGAGTAATTCCTGCAGGGAATCTATTCAGTGTCTAATCGGGAATTAAGTGGCAAGCTTTTTAGTGGGTTGCCATGTTTGATCTGCAGATCTGTTAGTCCGCTGTTCTAAATGTCCTCTTAGGTGGCCCTGATATCAAAGGGTAGTGATTCCATCAGATTGGCCATCCAGCTTGGGTGATACAAATGTTTCATGATCCAAATGATCAGGCTTTGAGAAAACAACATAAAAACTGCCGTCTTACTGGAGACAGAAGAGAAATGTGTAACCATAAAGTTATAATTGTGGAAATCAACCTATTGCGAGGCTGTCTGCACTATGGGCTTTCTTGAACGGCTCCCATGGGGGCATCTTGATAGTCTGAAGGTTCCATGGTCGGAAAAATCGTAACATTTTCACCAGTTTTTTAATCAAGGGTTTGTTGGTCCAAATGTTCAATAGTGAACATTCGGACCAATGAACCTTCGGACTATTGAACCTTCGGACTATTGCTAGGGCTCCATTCCCACTGTCACTTCCTTGTTCCTAATGTTGGAATTTAAAGTTACACACGACTGCTCTATTAGTCTGTCAAGCATACAAATTTAACTGCAATTTGCTCACATATTGTGCCTACGAAGCACAGTCTCTCTAGTGGGATGTCATAATGCAGCTTGTGTTTCCACTTAGCCAGTCTCAATGTACCAGTTCTCCATCAAATCATTATAAAACAAATTAGACAGGCTATTAATGGTAAAAATATTGTCTCTTTATTGTCTTTTTTTAATTCAATTTCTCTTGTCATCAAGGTACACATATCTCAAGTATAAGCTAGTGTACTTATTGAGGAATCTGAACAAGACTGATGAATCACATAAACTCGCCAAAATTAAACAAAAAAAAAAAAAAAAAAAAAAAAAAGAAAAAAAAATTACTCAAAAGTTTTGAAGATGGCCAAAAATAATGCTAGATGTCAAATTAAAAAAACTGCATGAGTGCAATATCCCTTGTGGTTTATGACAAGTACCATCCATGTGTTAAACAACATTAACACAGCATTACAAATATTATAAAAATCATTTCTTGACAAATAATTTTGATCATCACCATGGCTACTATTAAGTACTTGCGGATGAACTTAATTAAGTTTCATTTCACATTGCAGTCTGTTGAAGACCTATAATTACATCAACTTGTATCTGAACTTGTGTCTCTCTGAAGGAAATGGTTAAATGCACTGCCTAATTCAGCGGTCATAATTAATTGGAAGTTGGGGTTTTGAATAATCAATAAACATTGTCAGTGAGGTCTAAATAGAACTTGAATGTTTAGAATTTAATTGCTAGAATACTGAATGCTGTACACAATGTTTATATATAGTTTTTACAATTATCTGCAAAAAATTAACAAGGGTACGTGATTATAGATTATATACTAATGTACAGTTGTTGAAATCTTTTTTTAAATGCTTTCTGCATAAAGTTAATTAAATCTTTTTTTAATGCTTTCTGCATCACTGGCTTCAAAGCAGAGCTCCTAACATATAATATATATGTTAATGCTAGGTTAAATTTTATTATATATATATTTAAACATAGCACAAGTGCATGCTCACATACAATTCCACATTCATTATTAGTAACTTAAGCGCAAATTTTTTAGATGCATTAACAAAAGTCACTATTTGTCAATACACAAAACTAATATCTCCTCAGAGACAAATCTTTCAAATTATATTTTGCAGTGAATGCATCTTTGTGACAGTCATTGATCTTTCTCCTGGTATTCTGTATTCTGATCACATCATCAATTCTGTTGAAGACTGTAGACATTTCATTAGCATTCTCCCCTTGAGGGATTTTGAGGAGGCAATTGTACAGATTTAAGGACAATAACAAAAACTCAACAAAATATAAGCCTTGCATTCATTAATTCTATCTTGGACTTATTAAGGGCAATATATTTATCATAAGACCAAAGGGTTTAATTTATTGGACCTCAGGGTAAATGGCATAGAATCTACAGGTTGGGGCATNGGGGCAGATGCCCCCCCCTTCCCCCCCCCCCCCCCCCAAATTCGCTACTGGGATCCTCTGGTGTGACGTACAGGAAGAATTCAGAATACAAAATGCACAGGATAATGGGCAGGAAATGTAGTATTCCATTGCAGGTTGGAAAAATTCATGGAATATGATGGGTAGACTTAAACAGAATCCCAGAATAATTACAGAAAATTTGAAGGATGACGAAAAGTAAATTAGAACTTTAATCCACAAAATGCTGGGTAGGACGTGTAGAATCCTGGGCTAGAAAATACATAGCTAAAGGGTGCTTGGTTGGGATTTTGAAATTCCAGGAATACAGGATAATGTGCAGGATAATTTAGAATTCCTGGGTAGGATATATATGGGGTAGAACAGGTAGTATTTCAAGGGGGTCTTGAAAAGGTCTTGAAAAGTCTCCATTCCCAGGTGAAAATGCATTTAAAAGGGGCTGCATTTTTTATAGTGCAAACATGAAAATGCACTCTCAATAAAAAGGGTTTAAATAAATGTGTTTATAGGGACTGTATTTAAATAGTCTGTAGCTACTCATGATAATTTCAAGGCAACAGTTTTGTATTATAATGTAAATACCTGCAAACCACTTCATCCTTTTCATCCAACTCTTGGTCTCTCTTTTTGATAAAAATCAATCATGTTTTGGGGTAAAAAATTATTATTATTATTATTATTATTTTTAAATTTTTAAAAACATGCCTAGAGGTAGAATTTTGTGACCATTTCCAAAGAACTCAACCTGACCTTCACTATTGGTCCCCCAAGTGTATGTAGGCGATGCCTCTCTTCATAAAATTTACAGGGAAATTGAACCCATTATCCACAAACCACACTGCCCAGACAGTGAGTGATTGAATTATTGTTGCGGACTCTTCGGGGAACACATAATGTAACTGGCATAGTTTAACATTAAATAATTAAAAACTTCAAGTTAAATTCACTGTGCACCACTTATTTTTCATCTTGTAAATACAGAGGATGCTGGTACATGTAACTCATCATCTGAAACTCATACTAAACAATTTTTCCTAGAATTTTTTTTACTAATACTCCTTTGATTCTCCTTTCCTGGCATTCACCATAACTCTGTAAGAATATGAGAGAATTAAACTCATGCCTAAGTGCGTTTTTTTTCCTTTTTTTTTCAAATTCAACCGACACTTCATGCACTAAATTCTGGTTCGCTCACGATTTAAAACAATGTCAAGATGACTGACTGGTGGCGAGATTTGTAAGGAGGTGATAAAATAAATTATTTTTGTGACATTAATTTATGGCATTTATCTGTTTAAAATGATCAAAAAGTATTGCCTGTCTTCAGATAAGTTAAACAAAGTTTAAAATCTTACATTTTGTCCCTTTAACTTGCACACTCAGAGGCTCAATCTTTTAAATATGCAGCATAAAAATAATGGGGGTCTTTTAAAAATCATTACCGTAGAAGCTGAAGTCATGCCATAGAAAATCTGATCAATTTGCATGCCAATTTATCAAAAAAGAAAAAAATTGCATGCTTCTCTTTCAGCATGAGCAAAAATGAGAAATTTGGCATGCCCTCTCAATTGAGCAGATAGTTCTAAAACAAAAATTCTTCTCGGCATTCAGTGGAAATCGCTTAGTATATAAAGGAAAAAAATGTTTATTTTTTCCTCAAGTCCATATTTTGTTCAATATAAAATTTCCATAGCTCTTGTCCTAGCATCCCCACTGGCCTACAAAAGAATTTAGTTATTTCACTATGAAGCATCCTCATTAATTAGCCAAAAGCTACATATCAACTGGGTCATTATCTTTACCGAAAAGGATTCAAAATTCCAGGATTTAACACAAATGTCGCTTTCTTCGAAGGATCCCATTTTAAAGGTTAATATCTTCCATGTCTTTCAGTCACAATATTATGGCCAAATCATTTTTCAATGAAGAGTAAAACATACTTTGAGGAAATACAAAATGACAACTAGATAAATCTTCTTCTGTAATCTAATGTAAAAGTGATAGTTGGATCTCATCATGACATGCATGGTTAATTCAAAATTTCACCTCGACATGATGAGAGGGAGTGGGCATACTGAGAACAAAATATTGGATCCATTTCCTCCGCACATCTTCCTTCAGATAAAATATATTATTTTAGAAAGGCTAAAATAGGAGGCCAGGTCCCACACTCCATCAATGAAAAAAAAAGCTATTTCTTTATAATCGGCAATTGAAAGTTTATTCAGTAAGTACACAACAAATATGTTGGCATAAATCAAACAAATTCTATTTAGCGACTAGCTCTTATTTGTAAAATGCCTTGAATTTTTGTGTGTTTATTTAAAAGGTAATTCCTATACTTTGCTTGATCTTACATTCTTGCCGATTCTTCACACCTTGGCTCGCTCGTTCATCTGACACAGTAAAACCTCTGTCAGACATTGCCAAGTCTCCCCTCTTGAGTCCTTGCAAGGGCAAATATGATTATGAATATGATTTCAAGACATAGTTCTCAAGAATACACTTTTTAACTGTTAACAGAAAAATCATTTTAATATGTTCAAGGTGATACAAACAAAATCATACAATATTTTTTAAATTGTTTTAAAAATTATTTTAAATCATCATTTTTATATTATTAAAATACACAATACAAGTTGCCCACTTTCTTGCTCAGTGTGTTTACTGAACAAAATATTCCAAAGTATACACTTTGCTGATATATAGAGGCTTATCAGATCTTGTTTTCAAATAAATGTACAGTATCCAGGATCTGATGCACAGTCCGCCATGCTTTTCACCAGTCAAATGCCTTGGACTAATAGTTTTGGCATCAAACCAGAAAAAAGAAATTGGAATTTTCAATTTTAAGATACAAACCCAATGAGAATAGTTAGATTTAAAACAATTTAGTCTGATGAGACAAGTAGGATTTTATCTGTCTGGCATATCTTTTCAAATTCTGTATATATGTAAACAAATGTTTCTGTGTAACTGCTTACAATCTTATTTAGTAATCAAAAAAGCTTATGCAATGTGGCAATTTCTTAAGTTGTATCAGTAAGTTTTAAGGTCTAACATTCAGAAAACAAGTGCTGTTTTGACAAAACAAGACCAAAGTCCACATAAGAAGGGCTTGATTCAATTAAATAAAGTTTTTTAACATTATGCTGGTAAGTACATAGTTCTTCCACAGAAGCTATTACTTCCTTTTTTCAACATGTTAAATGTACACTCAAATGTGGCAGCATTTCCTACTGCATAACATACCACCCAAGGAATTCAGTATAACTCGGGTCTCATAAATGATAATTGTCATTTACTAACATAACCCACAGATCTCTTAGCACTAACACCCATATTAACCACCAAACCCACAAATTTACCAGCACACCGTAAAAGCAGTGAACACTACCATAACGATTCCTAGCATTAACATTCATTCGCTTTGGTAGTGGTAAATACTTTTACGGTGTGTTGGTTAATTTGTGGGTTTTGTGGTTATTACAGGTGTTAGTGCTTAAAGATCTGTGGGTAGTATTAGTTAACCCCTAATCTGTTCACACAAAATATGGCCAACTCTGTTCTCTTAGCACCAGCCATTCCTTTCACTATCTCTTATATAGTCCCAGTGAAGGATTCTGCAACCTCATTCCTCCCACATGGTTGTATTTGTAAACTTGCACAGAGTCAGAAGGAAACCCAGGTCTCTCCTGTCAGTCAAAGTGTAAGGCCGAATATGTGATAATCCAAAGAACCTGAAATGAAATGAAATATGAAGCATTACTGCATTTAAAAAAATCTTTAAAGAGTGCATTAAACCTATACGCCAACCTTTCAATCCAAAGGAAAGATTCGCAGACAATCCAATTCTCAACTTTTCCAGCCATACATCCTGGCACATATCAACTTTATAGGAAATTTTACAGGCTGATTTGGTTATTTCTGATGGAACATTCTTGGCAACCGATTTTTGATGTACATACCTAATTTCTCTCTCTCTCTCTCTTTTTTTTTTTTTGCAAAGCACTGGNCACATAAAAATCTATAAAGCATTCTGATCAACTTAATGGAAATCTACATTGCCGCTTACAGATCACAGAAAAAGTTCAAAACCCTTGACAAAACATGATTTATAGAGAAGTGGCCTGAATTCAAACAAGATGCATTTAATCAACATGCACCATCTCAAAAAACACCTGCGCCTCAGTAAATAAAGATCCCCAAATGGATTGGATGGATCCATGCAGAAATCAACCTGCTGTGGGCGTACACTGACATAGATTGATATTACCAGAGGGAGCCAGTGAAAAATGATAGTCCCAATTCCATGCCGATACTTCAATCTGTCAAGGACATAAAACCATACACACTGACCTATTAGCATGCTATGCAACTCTAAGATCACTTTCTATAAGTTATTTTTCAAGATTGACTACGGATTTCAATGTTTAACTGATTGTATAAAGTTTACCAGGATGATAATTTAAAGTGATTTTAATAGAAATTATTCCTTACTAATGTTTTTGTTGATAAGAATTAATCACTTTCTTTAGAACAAAGGGTTTTCCCAGCAAACCATCCAACCGTTATTTGGATGGCCGCCAGTACCACTGGACAGCCTATATTTTCAAAGACGGCTGGACGACTTATGGATTTTTTTAAAAATATGCCAGCTTTAGGCATACTTGGACTCTCTGAAATTTTGTAGGAAAATACAGGTGGCAATTTTTGGATGGCCTGTACCCCCAATCCTGGGGAAAAGCCCTGTTTGGAACAAAATTTTATGAAACAGCAAAGCTTCACTTTTATCACAAGAGCATGATCAGGCTGAATACCCACAGGTCATTGGGTGTTGGTGGACCTGTGAGCAAGTCTTACTCAGGGTGGTAATTGGCAGAATGCCCACCCCCCTTGTTCAAAAAAGAGTGATTTTCATTAGAACAAAAGTTACTAAATACAAGACCATGAAAAGATAATCTAACAGAAAATTGCTTCTTGCCATAAAAATATAACTTACTAAAAATGAGGCAAAGGATGTCATTAATCCTTCTTTTAAAATTTCAGATGGGCCACCAAATTTGTCATCATCAACTTTGTGGTATGTGTTGTAAAAGAAATATGTAACTCCTGTCAGAACAGCAAAAAATCTGAAAGATAAAAACATTCAAAAATTTGTGAAAAAAATAAAGATTTGTTAAATATCACATACATTGCCCAATTTTAATTTTAATTTGATTAAAACCTAAAAACATCATACATAACAAAATGAGAAAAAACTGTAATGTCACTGTTCATTACAACTCAATGTTGAATCAATCACTTTTTTTACTTTATAGCTGACTACTTATTTATAAATTGGAAGTAACTGTTCTCAGGAAAATACAAGTCTATATTATACAATAATAATAAGATATAATGAAAATACAAATTTATATCTTCTCCATATGCAAACAACTATTAATCAATTTTATTTAGTTATTATTTTTTCTTTACTGCAGAAAGCATTTCTTTTGCTCTCTTGTCCTCTTTTCAACTCAAATTTCAGCTTGTTAAAAATCTTAAATTTAGAAAAAAAAAATCTTTGCAATAGTGATATCAATGTTGTTTTTACTTCAATCATATCAAACCAGACCCACTGCCATATTGTGGACTTACAGAGCTAATCCTAAAAAACCCTTCAGAGGGACAATACCCCATATCAGTCCCAGAACCACTCCTAGAATTTGTCGCATCCAGTATACCACGTCTAGGAAATCATCCTGAAAAAAGGCAGCAAAGCTGTCAAATGTACAGACAAAAAGTGAGGATATTGAACATTTAACATAAGGAATAAATATAACATGATAAAATATTGGTGTTATTTACAATTAATTGACCTAATTTACTAAGTCATCTTGAAGAAATGGAGGTGGATTGAAATTTAAACATTAGGAATCAACAAATATTGGGATAAATTTAACTACAATGAGGATTACATTCTGACAAAAAGGTAAGTTTAACATAAGGAATATAATAAATCTTAGAATAAATTACAATTAACCTCACATAGAAAGTCATACTGAAAAAAAGTGAAGGTGGATTGAAAATTAAACATTAGGAAAATAACAAATGTTGGTATTAATTGCCATACTTTTAAGTTAAAATATTTCTTTTGGACAACTTCCTATTTCCTTAATGAAAAAGTATAGAAATAAAAGTTACTTCTCCTAAACCATTTGCTATATAGTTGCATTTTATCTTGGATTTTGAATCATCAAAAAAAAATTGAAAACTCCCCATAAAAAGAGTATAATACCTAATAATAACAAGGCAGCAAAGCTGTCAAATGTACAGACAAAAAGCAGGAAATAACTTTGCACAAAATAGGCTACTGTCAATTCTGATGCAAAAGTACATTATGTTAAACTGCAAATTCAACATCAAATTTTAATTATGCTCAACAGGTAATACCAATGTAAGTAAAATGTGTAACAAGCATAAGGCTTCAGGCCCATGGCAGTTCAAGTTCACACTTTGAAAATGTATAACTTCGGTCTTCCAGAAAAAGAAGCCAATTACACTGCTTTTCCAACGCAGGCTGCATTTTAGTCCTGTATTTCTTTTCTGAACGTTTGGCAATCATCAGTAACATGGTTTTCCCATAATGGTCATCATGGCAGCAGCACCCAAAATTGTGTTTTCTTCTATTCTGATGCAATATTACATAATGGTTAACAGCATAATGACCGTCAATTTTTAATAATAAAATATACGTATCATGGATTTTTAGAAAATGTGACTAGCATGGGTCTTCAAGCCCATGGAACTTCAAAGTCACACCTTGAAAATGCCAATATGTGNGCTTACTCATAAAAAATAACTTTGACTCTTGTAGAAAAAGTTTTGTGTGGCACAAAACCCTTATGCCTTCCTGGCAAAGTCTTCCACACTCACTTCTTACACAGTTCACAAGAAATAAATTCATACCTGTAAAAACTTAATCCTGAGCTCAGCCTCAGAGAAGACGTCCATTCTCCTGAGGTAGCCAATCACACGCAGGCACGCGGGCAGCTGGATGTTGGCGCGGAGCTGTTGTATTAACTGGTTCAACATTAACTGCATGGAATTCTTCACCTCGCTGACTATGTTCTGGAGGTTATTAAATGAAGAGGATTAGTTGTGGTACTTTACAATTATAACTTCAAACAAAAGTTTATCCAGGAAAAGACTAGGTTTCCTACTTTATACTTTGTCTGTAGTAGTTTATGTGACATCAAAATGCAATTTATGTTGAATAAAAAAATGTTGATATTTTCAGATAAAATGTCAATATTGTTTTACACCTTGGCTATGGATACATTTTAATCAATTACCCTAGCCACCTATTACATATCAGCAAGCCTTTAATAACTCATACAAGTCCAAATTATCTTAGCTGCCTAAAACTACGGCTTTTATAGTCACATCACTCACACCACCCACCAAAATCACAGGTATACTGGAATGTTTCTTCTCTAGCCTCTTCACATGAGCTGCCAGCTCCAGAGCCTCCTCATAGTAACCATTTCTGACACAGGTGTCCATTAACTGGGGCATCTCCAGGATCTCCAGTAACTGGGTATGACGCTGCAGGGTCAAGGAGTTCATACGACGACTGGAATGTAATATCATTGTACAACAGCATTCTGGGATACATTGGCAAAATTATGCATTTGAAACGAGTAGACACAAGTTAATTCCACATAAATATAAGTTATCATGGAATCTTGGAATTATCTATCAATTATCCTGGAATCCCACACAAACTTACATAGGCATGGGCACACACCTTCACAAACTGATAAATATGCAAGTTCAACAGTTGAAAATTTGAAATATTGAGAAAGAAAAATTACTTTCCACCCACCTAGAGCTGATTTCCTGAGCCTTGGCCAAGAACTGATGACACTGAGTGGACAGTGTTGGTAATTTCTCCAGCATTCCACCAACATGTTTCTCTATGATCTGAAACTGAAGAATTCAACAAAATATAGATTCTTAAAAGTAAAAAATTTAGCCTGAAACATACATGTGGCTTTTTTTACAAAAGCAAATGATACTCAGAAAATATTTTTAACTTTTGTGAAGTAAAAATTTTCACAATTCAAATGAACCAGTGAACCAGTCATACAGACAGGATTTGTTGAACTTAAATGTCACTTTTTTATAATGAATCTAAAATGCGTATTTACATACTTATACAAACAAAGAACTTGAGTTTAATATGTCAGTACTGAATTCATATGGATAGCCTCATTCCCTGATGAAGATGCTCTGTTAGACATAGGGCGTATTCCCAGACATTTAGATCGATCTATCCCCCTGGGGAGTCTCACTAGATTACTGTCAGATAATCTGACTTAAATGTCTGGTAATTAACTTTCGTGCCCGCTCAGCTGACAGCTATTTAGCGCGAACCCCCAGGGAGTTAGGTCGATCTAGTTTGGATCGATCTAATCTCTGGGAATGGGGTCATAGAAATATTGGAGATAAAACTATTGCAATATCTGGCTGTTAAATGAAGAAAAATCACCTCATTCTTATACATATTAATATTGATTTTGATATGCATGAGACCATCCTTTTTACTCCCATCCCTTCTAAAACAGCCACACACCCTCGTATACATGTATGCACATACACAAACACACACTGACACAACATTACCAATCCTTGAAAATAAAAAATTAACAACAATAATAGCAAAGTCCTATATGCTGTTCTACCTACATCCTGATATATGTCTCTAGAGCATTCTGCAGTTTGGATAAAAGTTTTATAATTGTGGAAAGCGAGGTTCTGGGTTTGCTCCAAGATCTGAGCTCTGTCCTCAGCTAGTCTGTCTGGTTCACGACCTGAAAGGAATTTTAAATTTTACCAAAACAGCACTTAATAATTATAACTATAATTCCATTCAATTGCACAAGAAATAATTTTAAAAATCTTGTTATAACTTAGATATTAATCAACTTCTTAATTCCAAATGGGATGTAAAATAATATTCAGGTGGACTTAGAATGTTGTTTTTTCTAAGCAAGATCTATCCCCTTGGACTCGGAGTTACCTAATTTATCCACTCCAAAGGAACTGAGCTCTGCCAGGTACTGTGCAAAGTCTGGGTTGTCCCGCCAGTTGTCTGAAACAGCAGACAGAAAATAATATACACACAACACTGATTAATGTAATGTTGACTTGCATGTTAAGCTTAGTGCAGGATATAGTATCAGGAGTCAGCTGCAAAGGTATCAGCTGCAAGCTTCCCAATGTGCTATTGAAAAGGTTTCGTATGGTTTTTAGAGTCATCAGCTGTTTACAGCCGAGCGTTGGACTCAATAAACGTCAAAGTTATGACTTAACTCAAAGTCAAGACCCGCCAACACGCACAGAACCAAAGTCGTAATTGCAGTATGTAAAAGTTACGACTCCGCTGATAAAGAATTTGCAATTACACTGAAAGAAAAGAATATACAAGTCATGATAAGGTCTCACCTGGAAATGATTCCTTGAATATCGTGGAAATAATACTTTCATCTTCCACGTCAAATATCCCAGCCATCTCCCTGGCTCCTCGTTAGCACTCGGAACTACTCGGATGTCTCCGCACTCGACAATAGTATGCCTGATTGCATGATAGATGGCGCTGTATTCAACGACAATCCACAACCAGTGTCATGTGAACTAGCACTGGCTAGTACGCGGCTACTCTTGGCTGTCAACTAATTTGGTGAAAGATACACTCCACTGGTTTGAAAATCTCCGAAATGCTTATTTTTGCCACCCACAGCTTCTTATTTAACTTTACATACACCTTTAAAACGATTTCACCCATTTATTATTTTAGGAGCGTATAATTATTGTTAAATGATTGTAATAAACTGGGCAATCGAGCTCAATTTACATGTATGTTACACTCTCAATATCCCTCTCATCATATACGCTCACATTAGATTTAGATTAGATTAGATTAGCGTTGATTTCCGATTCAGGTTCCTACTGGATCCTCTATCGGACTCTTCCTCCAAAACTAACTTGTGACTTCCGATGAAGTTGATTTCGGACCTATAATTGTCATATTTGAGTTCCTGGTCATCCCACCACTTGTCTAATCTGTTCTTAAAAGAGTTGAGGCTTTTTGCCCTGACAACTTGATCGGGTAGGCTATTCCATATTTGTGTTGTACGCACAGTGAAACTGTATTTTCTCAAGTCTAATTTGGCTCTTTGAGGGAATAGCTTGAAACAATTTCCTCTATTACCAGACCTATGTGAACGACTGGACCATAATTTGATAAAATCTCTAGTTGATTCGTCGTATCTCCCAGTGACTAGTTTATACATCTCAATCGGGGGCGTCTCGATAGTCCGAAGGTTCATTGGTGCGAAGGTTCATTGGTCCGAAAAGTGGTAACATTTTCATCGATTTTTTAATCAAGGGTTCATTGGTCCGATGGTTCTATAGTGAACATTCGGACCAATGAACCTTCGGACTATTGAACCTTCGGACTATCGCTACGGCCCCTCTCAATCATGTCCCCTCACACCCTCCTGTAGCTAGTGTTAGTGTTGGTATCCCAAGTTTACGTAACCTTTCTGGGTATCTAAGGTTATTCATACCCGGTAGCTGTTTTGTAGCCCTACGCTGCACTCCCTCAATTTGATCAATGAATTTGCTCTTGTGTGGTGCCCATGCTGAGCTTGCATAATCCAGGTGAGTACGTACTAGTGACTTGTAGAGAGGTAGGAATGTCTTAGAGTCCAAATGTTGAAATATTCTTCTGATAATTGCGAACATAGAGTTGGCCTTCTTGCATTTTTCACTAATATGTTTTTCAAAGCTTAAATTATTATCAATTGTGACTCCTAGATCCTTTTCTTCTGTGACTACTTCTAGGTTGTTATCCATAATCTTATACTTGAAGTCCTGATGTGGGTTATGTTTGCCTAGGTGCATCTGTTTACATTTTTCTGGGTGAAAGCGTAACAACCAAGTTTTACTCCAGTCTGTGAGTTTATATCTAAGTCCTTCTGTAGGGTATCCTTGTCACCCTCCCTATGGATAGTGTTAAATATTTTAGTATCATCTGCAAAAAGGTACACTGTAGATTCTACAATGTCAGGAAGATCGTTAATAAAAAATGACAAACAATAGTGGGCCAATCACCGATCCCTGAGGGATACCAGACGTCACATCTCTCTATGAAGACGAAGCTCCGTTTACTGATACGTGTTGAATTCTCCCACTCAAATAGTGCCTTGTCCATTCTAGTGTTTCCTCTCCTATGCCGTATGCCTCCAGCTTCTTCAGCAGTCTCTGGTGAGGTACTGTATCAAAAGCCTTTTGGTGATCCATATAAATACAATCTATCCCGGCTCCATTGTCAATTGCCTCGGTCCTTTCATCCAATATTAACTGTAGAGCCGTAGAACGTCCCGCCATGAATCCATACTGCTTAGTTGAAAACAATTTATTTCTTGCCATGTGGTCAACGATGCTATCCCTTACGAATTTCTCCATCAGCTTGCAAACCACAGATGTAAGACTGATTGGTCTAAAGTTTCCTGCAAGTGTTTTATTGCCTTTTTTAAAGATAGCACTTATCTTCGCTTTCTTCCATTCGTATAGTACTGCTCTTTCCTTTAAACTTTTATTGAAGATAATCCACAGTGGATAAGAAAGTTCTTCTGACAATTCCCTCAGAAGTCGAGGTTGTATATTATCGATTCCTGGTGATTTACCTGGCCTTAGACTTTTTAAATGTTTAGTGATATCCTCCAGACTTTTTAAATGTTTAGTGATATCCTCCTGTGAGATATTTATGCCTAACCACTCGGTGACAATCTCCTTTTTTTTTTTTTTTTTTCTAAGGACGGTATTTCTGCCATAGGTTCCTCGGTACACACGCTGCTAAAGAAGTCTGCTGATATATTAGCTTTTACTTCTACTACACATGATTATGCCTAGTTATGTTGATCTTTCCATTGGAGCTTATCAGAAAATGGTCGCTGTTATAATGACTGGTAGAGAATAATGAGCATACTGTAGTTTTCATTCAAAGGTAATTGCTTACCAAGAGTACTTAGTCAGATGTTAGATGTAGCCAAAGGCTATGTTGCATCAGTACTTACCTGGAGAACATGTCATTCTCTATATGCACACTGTGTAGGCCTATATAGTGAATCATTCAGACACTGGACTTCACCCTGATAGGAGGTGTGCAGGACTTTTTATACCTGAGGTGACTTTCATTTATTTACATATATCAGTATTTCATGATCTAGTTCTTTATTGTGTATTTCATATTTTTCCATTTATTATATTACTGAGTTTACTAATAGTTTGT